CTTGTATCATCTAGAATTGATGGATTCTCATTGTTTGGCAGTTTTACAGTCCTGATATCTACATTAACAATGGCTGTGTACATTTGAAATCTACCTTTACTGCCTCCCCCTCCTCCCATAGTTCTGTGAAAATACTGTCTTCCTTCTTGTTGGGAAGCTTTGTTATTCATGGTTTTAGATCTTTTCGTAAATAATTTATGAGGAAATCTATTCAGTCTCTAGCCCAAAACAGACCTCTTTGTGAGCATTTACATAAAATCTTTTGATTAATATTTATAGTATGCTTACAATTCCAATTAGTCTTTGAGTTTTACACTTACTTGATTTATGCCTTTTTCTTAATATGTGGCTTGGTGACCCCATGACATGAACAAGCCGACCCTGCTAATGCAAACATGGAGAGTTTTATTGGAGCCTAATCTTGCTCATTAATCACTTATTTTCCTTTTTTACTTTGTTACTACATGTGCATATGGTGTTATTCATGTGTACATGGTATTTGTAGATGTGATCTTGTGTATACACATGTTCATATGAATGCATGCGTATGCCATTGATTGACATCAGTTATCTTCTTTCATCCCTTTCCACCTTATTTCTTGACACAGATTTCTCACTGAACATGGACCTCATCGATTCAGATGGACTGGGTGGCCATTAAGCTCTGGGAATTTGCCTGTCTCTAGAGCCTTAGAGGGGGTGAAAAACAATTGCACTCACCCTATTACATGAGTGTTGGGGATCTGAACTCAAGTCAACATGCTTGTGTGGAAATCATTTCAGTTATTTGGCAATTTTCCCAAACTCACAATCATGTATTTTCTCTAACTTATTTTTGCTATGATGGTTGTAGAGTTGAGTTCTATGACAGAAAATAAAAGATTCATGGAATTACAGAAGTAGGACAAAAAACTCATTTCTTTTTTTTTTTTTTTTTGTGACATGTCAGATACCAGGGGCATTGATATTGGAATGTCTTTATGTCTCTCCTTGGCCTTTAACTGATATTTCTCCCGGAACTTTATCTTTCAACTCTACTTACAAGTGCCTACTCTATTGAAGGAATTCTGCCAATGACTATGCAGTGTAATAGAATATGTCTGGTCTTTCATATCCTACATCTGAAATACCTAAAAGCCACACCTTTTTCTTGCTATTATGAGCCTGTTTTAAGGAAATCTCTGGTATCCTCTTTGACTTCACTAAATGTGCTTTCCTAGAAAAAAAATTGGAGGATAGCCGCAAAACCAGGCTATATAGTCACATATATGTAAACAGGTATGTTGGGCATTATCAGGCACTAGCAAGAATATAGAAATTATAGATAACTCTTTAACAAATAAGCTGATGCCAAAAATTATAAGATAATGGAAAGACTGAGAAATTAAGCAAGAAATTAACATGGCAAGGGACTAGTTTCTCTCTCTCTCTCTCTCTCTCTCTCTCTCTCTCTCTCTCTCTCTCTTTGTCTCTCTCTCTGTGTCTATCTCTCTCTCTCTCACTCTCTCTCATATATATTCTTTTGGAACAGAAGAGAGCAAACAATGTCACTGATAATTAGAAGAACTAGATCCATTAATAAAGATGTAGCTGTTCTCAAAGGAACTGACACAGAAGAAAAAGACATTTTATTAGTCATTTTTTATTGTTATTGCAAACTCCCTTGGGCTGATTACCTTAAAACAACAATGTTTATGCTCATAGTTTTGAAAGCTGTAAGTACAAGAACAGGTGGGTCATTTTGGTACCCTTGGCTATGCCACAGTAAGTTGGAGTGTGTCGTAATGAGAATACATCCAAGTTAGCAAAACAACATTTGAGATAGGAAGCCTAAAAGTAGGAAGATATAGTTTTATTCTGCTAGTAACTACTTCTCTTACAAGAACTCACTTTTTGATAAGAGCATCAGTCCTTGGAAAGGGCAATGTCATACAACAATGTAACTATGTTCTCTTAGTCCCTACATGTTAAAGAGCTACAGAAATGAGTTAGCACTAGTATCTTGGGGAACAAACTTCTAGCATGTGACTCTATTAGAAACATTTAAATTATAGGAATGAAGTGTATACCCTGGTTTCTTTCTTCCTACTTTCCCATTGTGCAACCTATCTGGAAACAGTTAATGAGAAAGTTTACCATTCCAGTCCATATTATGACATGAACAGCAGCAGTAGAGGGTGGAAAAGCCAAAAATATAAAAGGCAATAGACCAAGTGTCAAAGCATCATTTAATGGCACATAGAACTGGTCCATAACTGTCAAACTTTTCTTCCAGTTTGTAGTACCATTAACCTTCAAATTCTTTATTTCAGTTTAAAATATGCAATGGCAAATGCTTTTACTATATACTCTAGGATTTCAAAAGTGGTTAAAAAACATTTTCTAAGAATATAGGCTGTTATGCTCTAAGTTTCCTGAAACTACCTCTATTTGAGGATAGTCAACTTTGTCAGTAAATATTATAGTCACTCTGTCAGCTTTTGCATTTTTCTCAGTATTTTTCCACACGTCTTAAGCTTGAAATCCCCCCCTAAATCAAACTGTATAAATCTTCCTAATTCTAAACATAGACGATTTTGCCATCTACTCAATTTCCCCAAATTCAGTTGCTATCTTAGCTTAGACTCATACCATAAAAATTTCTAACTTCGGTGATACTAATTGCCTTTATGATCTGAATACATTGAGGTTGGAGTATGCAGAAATGAATTGATAAATATCAAATCCATGGATGAAGTTTTATTGAAGTCTTGTAATTGAAATAGGCACCCTACTTTCTCAAACTGAATTAAAATGACCAGAGAATGGGCAACTAAAGGGCAGTGTTCTGACTGTCATGTGTCCTTTCTCCATCTTCACTGACAAAATAAATATTTATTTGGGATTATGAGATTAAAGGAGCAACCTGAAGTCACTGTCAACATTCCTGTAATTGTGGACCCACTTGAAAAGGCCAATGACTGAAAGACAAATCACGAGACACAGAAAAAGATTTGTTTAAAGATCCAGACAACAAAATAAGATGGAGTTTGTTACCCACAAAGGCTACCTTCCTCAGGGTTTGTGAGGATAGTCTTAAAATGGGAGTTGAGGAAGCCACATCAGACAGGAGGGAAGTGCTTAGTTAAAAGCTCAAAAGTAGTTACAGTTATGTATGTTATGCATTCCTGGTGCCTATGCTGGAACTTGTGGGTCACCGAATCGTCTAGGTCCCACTAATATAAAGTAAAAATCATGGTTAAAGTGTGTTATGATTTGTAATTTTAGCTCCATTTCCAGGAAATAGCTAATTTTGCAGTTGGTTTTTAAAATACAAAAAAAAAAGTTTTTTTTTTCCCATGGAGAGGAAAAGATAATAAAAATACCAAAGAACATATTTTTTTTTCTCCAGAAGAGCTAAGAGAATTAGAGAAAATGTCTTCCCCTGCAAGACATTGGGAAATAACATTTTCCCAGAAAACAGCTTTTAATCCCCTGGTAGCAGCAGTCAGAGGTGTCTCCAGCAAATGCAAAGGGAGGTTAGGGGCATGCTGGGCTACTCCATGTTGGTTTGCTTCAGGCTTTCCTCAATCGCATTTCCTTTTGAGGAATATGTTGACCGACCATGGCTCTGTACATCTGAGAGAAGACAGATATTTCTTCACTCAAATTGCCATTGAGGGAAAACAGTCTTGTAAAGGCTGACGGGTCCTATTTCGGTATAGGTTCTCTGATGCTTAACATGCTCAGAATTGACCCGTGCTTTGAAGAGTTGAAAGCTTTTAAAGAATCAGGAATTCCTAATCAAGAGTTTTAAATAAAATTCAATGTTTGCAATTTTGCCTAAAAAGTATTTTTCTTAAAAGTGAAGTTTAAGGAATACAAATGTTAGCTATTATAAAAGTCAGCCCAGTAGGAATCATAAATAGAATACCAGCTAGAACTATTGAAAAATAAGTGAAATTATTTTTCTAAGAGATAATACAAATAATAAAAATGATAGCAGGTGATTTTTTTTGAATTCTCTAAATCCACTTTCTTTAAATTTAGCCAAAATATGAAACAATATGTCCCATACTTGGCAGTAAGCCATCTTTTACAGAATCGGTAACTGATAAAGTCAAGAGCCAATGAAATCCCTCTAGCATCTAAATCACAGAGTGCTACGAACACACCCCACAAATATATAAATAAAGTTATGAATCTCTTTCCTTTTTCTTTTTGTTTGTTCATTTGTTTTTTGTTGTTGTTTGGTTTGGTTTTTGTTTTTCGAGACAGGGTTTCTCTGTGTACCAGCTCTGGCTCTCCTGGAACTTGCTATTATAGACCAGGCTGGCCCCGAACTCACGGAGATACATCTGCCTCTGCCTCCTGACTACTGGGACTAAAGGCTTGCACCACCATGCCCGGCTGAGGACATAAATCACAAAGATTCTTCTGTTACAGTGGATACGTCTTCGCACGTTTCCTGATTTTACTTGTTTATTTTTTTAGTACTTCAACAAATCTGTGTCAAGTAAGATCATCTATTTGTAGAGACAGCACACTGAAGCAAGCCTGAAGATACTGGAGGTTGGTTTTCGTGTCCTATGCTTAAACGTTTTTTTTTTCCTTGTATTTAATTTAAAAAAATATTTTTATTAGTTATTTGAACATTTTGTTCAGCATGGTTTGATTATGTTCACCTCCTCTCCTTCCTCCCCCCCCCCTTTTACATCTCTGTGATACAGAGAAGGTGGAATATATCCTTGGAACTTCTGACGCATCCGCCAACCCCTCTGTACAGACGTTGACTTCCTACGTGGGAAGTAACGTTCGGGACAGAGGTTATAGTGGCGGCTATCTTAGCGAGAGCTTTAGTTACCTGAGCCCACCAAACACACAGGTGCCTCAAAACAAACCTGCAGTATCCAGATAACTGTATCGGATAAACCATGGACCAGGAACCGAAACAAGAACAAGAACAAGAACAAGAACAAGAGCAAAAACAAGAACAAGAGCAAGACAGCATAGAGGAGGCTATGGTTGAAAAGAAACAAGAGGACAACCAGGAGGAATCTGAGCATCCCAAGAAAACATCCCCGTTTCTGACAACAGTTCCAACTGCCGTGACGAAGTTTGGAAGTTTCAGAAAAACTAACATGCTCCCCCTTTCACTCGCTCCACACGGCATGGAGTTATCTGAAGCAAAAAAAGAAGCTCACTTGAAAGAGTCGTTCGGCGTGGGCCCTCTAGTTTTCCCTGCTTTACAGCGCTTCAACAACATTGACGCCTTCCTCGCTTTTTACTGTGTACTGGTCCTAGCTCAAGGTAAGTTAGAAGAGCAGGGTTGCTCTGGTGAGTAAAGTCGTGAGGTAGACAAGGCTGTCAAATGGCAGGAAGGAGACGGTCCGTGATCAGACACAAATGTAGTCAGTATCAGCTAAGCCGATGCTGTGTTGTTGCCTCAGGTCTTTGGTTGCCTGCTGAGCAGGGTGTACTTCATGCTGTCAATATCATTCTGGCTTTCAGATACAGAGCTGATGAGAAGATGATGGATATTGTGTTAGTTCATGTTATTTGATGCTCAAGTTAAGCTCTGGGTTGAATCTTCGGGGGATTAAAATAGTTGAAAACAGCATTGCTATCATGAGGTGGTTTCAGTTCACAATTTTGAAATACTCTGGCAAAGCAGCTTTCTTTCTGGATTTTGTTTTCTCATCTGTAAACTGAGGGATGGTGAGATTTTACTGGGTCCACATCCCAGGAAGAAATCCAAGGGTGTTTTTACCCACATCCTGTCTTCTTCCTCTTACCTCTTCCTCCTTCTTCTCTTCTTCTATTATTTTATTATATGTTATCGTTGATAATTTTTGTTAATAAGTATCTTACTAAGCTCTGTCAGTCCACTTTGAAACTTACTTTTCTTTGCAAGGGGTCTGGTTAACATAGAAACTACACTTGCCCACTGTCTTTGAACTAGCTAGCTCTCATAATTATCTGTTGCCAGTGAGGTGCTGGGGTGGTAGATATCAAAAGGGTAGCCAGAATCTTCTATAGTTTTCTGGTTTGTTGGTGTTTTTGGAAGGACCAATTTACAGGGTGATTGAAGATTTTGGAGTTAAAGTAGAGAATAGACATTCTATCCACAGCATGAATGTTTGAGCAGCCCTGTGTTTTTTGGGGTCTAGCCTTGACTACTGCTGGGACAGCAGACCAGCAGGAGATGAGTGGCTTCTCAGAGCTTTAGAAGTTTTAGGAAGAGTCTGGACTCCTGGATCCCTGCAAACCAAGCAGTGTTTGAGATAGTTGGACAACAGCAGTTATGGATACTGCAGCAATGAACTGTGATCCAACCTTTGTGCAGATGTAGTCATGAGTTTTAATTTATAACTATTTCTGTTTCCCTCAAAGAAATGTAATACTTTTTCTAGGTATTCCTTGTATCAAGTTATTTTTGTTTCATTTAGTATGCATGTGTGTGTGTGTGTGTGTGTGTGTGTGTGTGTTTCAAATCAGGGTTTCTCAATACCTATGGAACTTGTCTTGGAACTCCTTCTGTAGATCAGACTGGCCTCAAACTCACAGAGACCTGCCTGCCTCTTGTCTGCCAAGTGTTGGGATTAAAGATGTTCCACCACCGCCCAGCTTTTTTTTTTTTTTTTATTCACATGCTGGATGATGGTTGAATCCACATTGTGCTCTCAGCTATTTAATGTTCAGGAACATGAAACCATTTACATTAATATATACTTTTTTTCAAAGAGCTTGAGAAAGCTCAAAAATTTTAAACTTCAAGCACAAAATCCAAATGATTTAACAATTCTAGCTTTGAATATATGTATACACATGCTCTTATTTATCTAATGGTCAAGAACATATAATAGTAACATCCATTGAATGTACACATTTTTTTTCCAAAAGGATTCCTAAAAGGTTAAACTTTAATTTGTGTAAATTAAAGTTCTTTTTGAATGACGATAATGGTAATCTGTTTTGTCTATTGAAATGTGTTATACTGCCTTTTGTCTTTCTTTTGATTTTAGGTCTTGTGTTTGGTCTTGTTGATCTGAGTACTGAGTATTTTGAGAAGGAATTTTATATGTCCAGTCCAGAGAAATTTGCACTGTCCTTCTCTTATGATCTTACATCCTTATTGTCAGCAATATTTGTAGCCTACTATGGAAGCAGATATAACAGGTCAAAATGGGTGGCAGCTGCTGCCTTTTTAGTGGGGCTTGGATCCGTTTTATGTGCTGTTCCATTCATGAAATATGAAGTTATACCACAAATAGATGAAAGCGAAGGTAAGATTTTTCAAATATGCTCTTCATATTTCTAATCAATGTTTATTTAAATCATTGCTTCGAGGAATTTAGCATAGGTCATGACATATGTCTGTGTGTCCTTCCTTGTTTATGTAGCCATGCTTACTGACTAGTTACATCAGTCTTATTAATTAGCTTTCTGGTTTACCTCACAGAAAAGATGACCCTAGAAAAGAATATTGTGGGAAAATTTGTAAAATTATTTATTTCTTACAATTTTATGTGTGTTAAAAGTCTCTTGAGAAGTCTAGTAGTTCATTTCATGTTCTTGATAGCACAGACCCACATAAGTTCAAATATAGGAATAAGCCTACACATACAGAAGGGGTAACTTTTCTAGTTATTCTTTCCATTGCAAAAGTTGGATGCTATTCTTTGACTACTCTTTGAATCTGTAACGATAGTGGCTTTGTCATGCTGTTTAATATTGTTTATACTGCAGTCACTTTGCTATTCTAGTAAGATCTACTTGAAATGCCTTTGAAATATAAAATATTTCTAGCATTATTGTCCCAGATCCTTTCTCAACAGGTATAGGCTTTTTAAGTACATGATAATCTGGGTTTTAACAAGGCATGATTAATAAGAGAGATATATCCTTGTGTATGTGTATATAAATGTTTTTCAAGTTTATAATGCATGGCATATTTATGATTTTTATAAAATGTTTGAAGTTTATTTTACATGAATATTTACAATTGAATTTTAGAAATGATTTGTAACTACCACTATTAATAGTTTCTTAAAGGCCAGTTATGATTATATCACCTCATGTCACTTGTAAAACATACTTTGTACCAATTATAAAGAACTAATAAATGATGCAATGAATGTTTATCTATTTTTTTAAAATTGAAATTGCAAAGACAGTTGGAACCCAGCTTGAATTTTCAAATATAACCTTGTTCCATATCTAGGGACCATCTATAACAATAGCTCTAGGGCATCTGGTACCCTTTTTGTGGCCTCTACTAGCATTGACTTACATACACACACACACACACACACACACAAACACACACACAATTTTAAAAAAATAAAAATAAATTCTTAAAGGTTAAAGGTTGTTATCAGTGTTGAGAAGAAACTATATCAGCAAAATTGTTTTTCTTCCTAGTGAATGTTATTCATGCCATCTACATTTCACACAGTTTGTTTTACTTGGGATTAGGTGCACGCTCGCTGTTCATCTACCAACATTCATTCCGAATATTTACTTGGTGATTGATAGCAGGGAAGCATTCATAATCCACCCTTGCCGAAGTGCTCAGTGATTTATTTTGTGTGGATATTTGAGTTACTCTTATATTTAACACACACATAGAGAGAGATAAAAATTCTCCAGAAATTCATGAAAATACCACACAGTCAGCTTTGCTTTATAGAATTTTCTATAAAGTGACCATCCACACATCTTTCTCAGCAGACTACTGAGCTGGGTTTTACAGTGACAGCCACAAGTGTTTTCAGCTTACTCAGAATGAAGATGAACTTCTTTCACAGAGACTAGAGCATAGTGACACCTTCTTTGATTCTCATAGTTGCTATTTGCCTTCGTTTGTACCTTGTTTTCTCTCTGTCATCAGCATGGTAAAATCATTCAGACCTCCTTCCGTGAGTGCCCTCAGCCTTCTCTCATAGTCCCTTATCTCCTGCTTGTACACCTTAGGAGTGAGTCATGCACCTGCCCTTTCCCTATACCTGGCTGCTGCTGAGTCCTGCGATGAACCTGCTGCTGCCAAAAGGAAGTGCTGCTTTCTTTACAAATGAATCTATTCACCAAGTAGTCTTGAGCCCAGTTTGAAAAGACTTTAGGTTTTCTTACAGGCCCAAGATGCCCTGTGTTGGGTAGGAAATGATATCATGGAGGAAAATTGCCTTTATTTCTTTACACTGAAATGTTAATTGAGCCCACAGTTACATGTTAGTATTCTTCCCATCTTTCCCCATTTGAAATGCAGGAGGCGTCCTCTAGTGATCATTCTGTGTGCTCCTGTCTCACTCTCTGCTCCATTCCTGATCCCCTCCTCCTGCCCTCTGCAAGCCACTCTTCTCTGTCAGTTCTTACTAACACCTGAATATGAGCAAATTCTTTCAGTCCACTTAGTATTTTGAATGCTTTTCTAGTTTTTTAGTGTTAAAATTAAAATAAAATTATATTATTTCCTTCTTTCCTTTTTTTGTCTTCTTACTCTTCATACATTTTGTCTTCCTAAACCCTCCCATGTTGGTTCTCTCCAATCTCTGACATTTCTATGCTTAGTCACTCTCAAATGCAGGGCTTCTTTTTCTTTATTATTGTCACACTGTAATTCAGGAAGGAGGAGAGCATTTTTTTTAATGTATTTAAATTTTTTATATATTAATTTTGTTGGATTTTTTTTGTTACAGTGTTTTGAATGTATTTTGCCTGGATGCATCATGTGTGTGTGCCTGGTACCTGCTGAGGCTAGAGAGACTTTCAGAACCTGCAACTGATGGTTGTGAGCTGCCAGTTAGGTGCTGGAAACAGAATCCAGATTCTCTAGAAGAACCCCCAAAGCCCTGAGTCACTGAGCCACCTCCCTAGTTCCATGTTGTTTTTCACTCTTTAAGAATAACAATAGCAGACACACTTGTGACCAGTCCTCTATTCAGATACTATTCAATAGTAAGCTCAGAAATGTCTCCTCAGGGTATGTGGACTAGTAAGTTCGACGTTCTAGAATAAGTCAAAGGTAAATGGGATCTGAAGGTGCTTTATGCACACAAATTATCCAAGATAGTTTATCCTATCGTGGAAGGGAAAGGAGAGTACAAGTCCCTATGCATCCTGGAGATTTATATGTAGTTAGATGCTGTTGAGAGAGGAAGAGTCAGTTCAGCAGCAGAGTTTCTGTCAAGGTGCCTGTGCTTCCACAAACAACCCTGCACCAACTATAAAGTAAGTAATTCTAATGCAACCCATTAAAAAGCACTAAGAAAAAAGAGAAACAGAAGAAGGAGTAGACAATGAAAGGAAGGAAGGAAGGGAGGGAGGGAAGGAGGGAGGGAGGGAAGAAAAAAAGAAAGGAAGAAAGAAAAAAAAAGAATGGAGATGGGGGGTCTAATTGGGAAGAGGAAGCCAACTAGTGGGAATGAGAGACAAACAAAAAGAGAAAAGAGATGAAATTGATCAGGATACATCGCATACATGTATTTAAAAGTCATAAATAATCCCACTGCATACATTATGTGTTATTATATTAGAAACGACATGACAAGATAACATGCTAAGTTAAATCACAATTTAAGAGATATCTTCCTAATTGCCCTTGAGTTATTTCTTATTCCATAGAAACTAAGACAATTAGTTTTTCAATAGTGTGATAGGTTGTAATTTTTACTAGATTTTCTATGGATAATTCAAGTGCATGTTTTAAATTTCACTCTAGATGGTCATAATAGATATAGTTTAGTATCACCTTCTTAGCTTTTACCAATCTACTATAAGAATAAACACACAAACCCTATAAGTATGTGAATAAGAAAAGCAAGGAAAAAGGTCCAAAGTTTTCTAAATAAAATGGATGTATGGCCATATAGTAAATGACAAAATATCTTAAGTTTTTGTTTGTTTTTGTTTAAGACAAGGGCTCTCTGTGTGTCCCTGGCTGCTCTGGAACTCACTCTGTAGACGAGATTGGCCTTAAACTTAGTGATCCTCCTGCTTCTGCCTCCTGTATGCTTGGATTAGAGAAAGGCGTATACCCCACACCTGGCTGTCTAACTTTAAAGCATAATACCTTGTTTTTATGATTCTCTATATACTTAGTTGTCTTGTTTCTATGAACAAATGCTGCCATCATTGACTTAAAAGTAGGAGAAATGTGTTGTTAGTTAATGGTTTCAAAGTTCTCCCTCCATTGTTGCAAGCTCCATTGATTCTGAGGCCATGGCTAGGAAGAAAACTTCCCAGTTTTCTCTGCAAATGAAATCAATGTACTACATGGTAGCAGACAAAAAGAGTGAGCTTGGACAAGACATTCCTCTCAGAAACTAGGTGGTGTCTTCCTCTTACAGTTCTTGAAACCTCTCCAAATAATATCCACAGGTAATCAAGAATGTGGTACAGGAGATTTTAAGGAGGTAATTCATATACAACCTATAAGAGTATGTATTTTAGAAGCTCATAGGTCTGAAGGAGGAAATTATTTAATAAAAATCATGCTCATATTTTAATTTAAAGGTTGCTAAAGAAAGGACCAGAGAACTAAAGTCAGATGGTGGACTTTGACAGTTCAGATCAACTAGAGCATTGCAAGTACTTTTATTCTGGAGCCAAAAAGTATAGAATGCATAGTACAGAAAATTTAGTACATGTTGAGGAATGTTTAATTTTACAAAGTTTCGTCACATAGATGTGTCGCATTTGCTTAACTATGTAAAGATGTGCTGCATTTATTTAATTAAGTAAAGATATATTGCTATTTTTACCTTGACTGTCTAAGGCACCTGCTAGGTCTAACAAAAAGAGAAGGAATTTTAGCTCAGGGAAAGGAAAAAAAAAGAAGAAGAAGAAGACAGGGGAACATGAGGGGTCAGCCAGACATGGAGGAAGTGGGAAAGTAGGACATACAAAAATGAATGGTTTTGCCCCAAGGCAAAATGTAGATGTCTAGAAACAGGTTAAACTAAGTGAAGGGAGCTAGTGAAATAAACCTAAGCTAAGACTGAGCATTCATAACTGGTAGTCTCTGTGTCTTTATCTAGGAGCTTATTGTTGGACAACTACCTCTGTCTGTGTAAATGTATATGTTTATAAGCCTATCTGTGTACATGCACTCCTGTGGATACATCTGTATGTGTAAATGTGTATGTATATAAGCATATCTGTGTACGTACAATCCTGCGCTTTTAAGTAATTACAGTTTCCTTCATAAGATGTGTGTCTTTTCCAGTATTTCTACACATTTTCTTTTATTGTGCAATTTCTATTTAAAATATAATTATTAAATGAGTGCATGACTATACTCAATGTAAGGATATTGAACAAACTGAAAAAAACGTGGCGATGTTAACAATTGCAAATTACTTGTACATTTGATTTTGAATTCAGCTCGGTAAAATATAATTCTTACCTTTCAAAAGAGTTGTGCATAGATGAAGAACACAGGGCAATTCCAAATTGTCTGGAAAACTTGGCACCGCACAGATCAGAAACCATCTCTTTCTTCATCCTCGGGCAGTGTCTCCAGGGAATTGCAGGGATGCCTATTTACATCCTTGGTATTATCTTCCTTTTTGACCACTCTGCCACACACTTAGCTGGTATCTATTTAGGTAAGTGTGGATTTCTCTAATATGTGGGAACCATTTTGACTATTCATTTGGTTTCTGTATGTTTTAACTGATGCCAAAGCACTGTTGCTACTGTGATGGCATTGTAATAACTACTGAAGACTTGTTGCCTTAACTTCATAATCACGTTGATCTACCTAATTCTGAAATTTGCAACATTGAACAAATAATCTAATGTCACTGGATATATTTAGAGGAGTAGAACATAGATGTGAATGAATCTCTTTCCCTGTGAGAGACAGTGAGAAAGGGAAAGAAAAAGTTGGCTGAATGCAAACATTGGATATCCCAAAATAATCTAACCTCTTTCACTGTATTAAAGTCTGGTCCTGGTAGACACAATGAAGATGCACTTGCACAGAGATATCTAAAAATCATTTCCAAAAATCTAAAATTATTTTTGCACTTACTTTGAAGGCATATAAAGAGTAAATATTATGGAGTATGCCTGTCACCTCCAGCTCCAGGGGGACTGAGGCTTGAGAATTATGAGTTCAAAGCCTATCTAGACTGTATAGCAAGTACCAGGCCAGTCACATTTGTATAACAAGACTATGTTATACTAACAACAGTAGCGGCAAGAAACAAGCAATAACTTGCACTGAAAAAATAGAATTTACACAAAGGCTAAGAAAATCTCTCCAGTAGACTATAACAAAGAATATACCTATTTATATACACCTTTGCAAGAAATTCTTGTACCTTATTAGCATTGGTTAAGACTGAAAATACCCATTTTAGTTCTGATAAGCAAAAAATTATATACGTATCAGTACAATATAGAGAGAGGCTTACTATATTACCACCTCCTGCTACCCTGGAATCTTATGTGAATATTGCAAAGGTAATTAGGAAAATGCATTATCTTACTTTAGTGACATATTAAAGGAAATATACTTTATTACATTCATATAAAATATAAATATTTATATAAATAAGATACAGCTAAGTTTATAATTAAATTATTGAGTATCTAATACTTGATTAGATAAGAAGTTGTGCCATCCAGTTGTACTTTCAGACTGTACTCTATATGACTCTCTGACATTGTCCTAGGAGTGATAAACATTCACAATCAACTACTGAGTAAAGCAGATGACTGTTTTGATAAGAATAGGTGTCATGCAAGCAAAGTTAAGTTCCAAGAATGTAAAGTGACTGTTCCCAAATAAGCAGTGATTGAGGCACAGGACTAGCATCTTCTTTAAGACTAGTATCAACTCTTACAAAAAATTCTAACCAGCTTCCTACCCTATTAATGTGGGATTTTTAGAATCAATTCCAGAAATTATTTACAATTTTCTCTCTCCCTCTTTCATCTCCCCCATCTTTTTCTTCCCCTCTTTTTCTCTTTCCCTCTCTTAAGTAGGAGAGAATAGAATGAATAACTTTCAGATACCACACATAGTTCAGGTTTTTATTTTTTTGGTTGTTGTTGTATTTTTTTTTTTTTTTGTCACCAAGTTAAGATGTGAAGCTGTTTGGTGTTGTGTTCATTTTTAAGGTATTGGTGAAGCTGTACAAATACTGGGATACGGTCTGGGTTTCATAGTGGGATCACCAAATATTAAACCTCCAAAGAATCAAGGTTTGAACAGATTGTAAGTCATACTATTTATTTTTCTATTTTTTGTATGTTCAATAGAATACTTGAATAGATACAATGGCTCATAAATAATATATATTTATTTAGTAATATTGTTATAACAGTGCATAAGTTGAGTGTGGTATGTACATATATGTAAACATAAATACATTTATAGTGTGTATATTTTTAATTTTTTGAAATATAACTAAAACTAAAACTATTATTTAAAAGATCAATAACTTTTTATTTTGTTGATAAAAGCATACAATATTCATTTGATATAGTACCATAGTTATAATTATTTGCATGATTTATAGAAGTTTCCACCTTGCTTAGAGTTTTTAACATAATATTATAATGATATTCTTCCTCCATGTCATACTTCTCTCAGATCCTCTCTACCTCCCTAGTCACCTAATATTGTGAACTCTCTCTCTCTCTCTCTGTCTCTCTCTCTCTCTCTGTCTCTCTCTCTCTCTCTCTCTCTCTCTCTTGTGCATTCAACAAAAAAAAAAAAAAAAAAAAAAAAAAAAAAGAAAACAAGCAAAACACCAGTAAGCCAAAAAAAAAAAAAAAGATAAAAAAAAAGTTTGCAAAAGACCCATTGAGTTCATTGAGACCAGCTCTGGGATATTGCTGTTATACACAGTGACACTCTACTGTAGGAAACTTATTGTCCCTTCACAAATGGGCATCTATTGAAAATAGTTTCATGGTTAGGATTGGGATTCATATCTTTTTCCCCATCTCAGTGATTGGGACCCCATCTTGGACTAGTGAAGATCTTCTGTGTGTTACTACAGTCTCTGAGTTCATAGATAGATCATGTCTGGAAGATGCTTACCCTGGAGTCATTTGTCACTTCTGGATTTTACAATCTTTTCACCTCCTCTTCCATCCAGAGCCCCAAGACTTAAGGGGGGTTGATGAAGACATCCCACTTAGGACTGAGTGCTCCAATGTGTCTTCTCACTCCATATTATCCACTTGTGTCTTTTTGTTAATTACCTTCTACTGAAAAAAAAAAAAAAAAGCTTCTCTGATGTGGATTGAACAAGGTACCATTATACAGGTACACAAGAATATTAGTTATTTTATTGCTGTAGTCCTTTAGCAAAATAATAGTATTTGGCTTTCCCCTAGGGTCATGACTTATCTTGTCTCAGGTTCTTAGCCACTTTAGCAGTATCAGATATGGGTTTCATCTTGTGGAGTAGACCATAAATCCAATCAAAAAGTTCTTGCCTACTCCCAGAACCTTTGTGACACCATTGTACTGACACCACTTGAAGGAAAGGTACTGTTAAAGGTCACACGCTTTATAAGATTGGTGATATTGATGATTACATTTTTCCTTTGGTAATTTGCAGAGTGCCTTCCAGTACCATGAACACTAGTTAGTAGGGATAAAGTCTCTAATTAGGCACTAGTTCAAGTTCTCTTTGTTTGATGATGTAAGTGTTGTATTAAAGAATTGAGCTTGATTGACCGAATTGTAGAGATCAGCTGATAGCCTTGGTAACAGCTAGTGGTAGATAGGCCTTTGATAAATGAATCAGCAAGATTTACCCTATCCCTGGGACTTGACAGCATAAAATAGCTAGTTGGGGCATTGTCTCCTCCATTTTGTGATTCCAGTTGGATTCCCTTCATATATGTAGATATTTTAGGATTATTTCCATATGGGATTTCAAATAGCCTTTTGTGCTAGTCATTCCTTCCTAAAGTCCCTCCTTTATCCTTCTCCCTCATCCTCTTCCTTAATTGATTAATCTTAATTAACCCTCTTCCTTAACCGATGAATTTCTTTCTTATATCTCCATAAAATTAAGTTGTTATTTTCCCTTCCTTTGGATATCTTTTTCTTCTGCGTAGTCACTTAGTAGGTACTCCTGGTGTTATTTATATTGTACACAGATATTAAAGGTTTGAGAGCTAACATCCACATATAAGAGAAAATATATAGTACTTGCCTTTTTGTGTCTGAGTTACCTGACTAAGGATGATTTTCTCCTGGTTCCTCCCATCTACCTGCAACATTGACAATTTCCTTTTTAACAAATGAATAATATTCTATTTTTTTAAGTACCACATTTTTATTGTTTGTTCTTTGATCGATGGACATCTTGACTATTTCCAGTTTCTGGCTACTATGAGTACAGCAGCATTGAACATGGATAAGCAAGTGTCACCGTAGAGTTTTTGGGGTATATACCCAAGAGTGGTGTAATTGAATTTTGAGATAGACTGACTCCCAGATTCCTGCAGAAAACTTGATATTGATTTCCATAATGGTTGCACTGGTGTGCACTGTAGTCAGCATCCACTATCATCTATTTTGTTGATCTTGACAGCCTGACAGGCGTGAGACAAAAATCTCAAAGTAGGTCTAATTGGCATTTTCCTGATAGATCAAGTTGTTGAGCATTTTTTAAGTCTTTCTCAACCATTTGTGTTTGGCCTTTTGAGACACCAATAGTTTTATACTTCACTTTTAAATTGGGTTATGTTTCGTGTTCTAGTTCTTTATATATTGAGATATTAATATTCTATCAAACATGTAACTGGCAAAATTTTTTATACATTCTTTTGGCTGTTGTTTGGCTTGAATGATTGTATATCCTTTGCCTTTCAGAAGGTTTCTAGTTTCATGAAGTCTCATTTATTAATTGTTGGTTTCGGTGGCTATTAGAGTCCTGTTCAGAAAGTCCTTTCTCATGTAATGAGCTCAAGCTTTTTCTCCATGCCCTCTCTCCTCTGTCAGATTCAGCTTATCTGGTCGTAGATTAAGGCTCTTGATTGATTTGAAGTTGAGTTTTATGTAGTGTGACAGATAGGGATCTATTTGCATTCTTCTACATGAACTATACAATTTGCACTACTGTTTGTGGAGATACTATTCTTTCTTCAGTTTGTATCTTTTGGTTTTGAAATAAAAAGCTTTATGTCTTTATATGTGTAGTTCTTCAGTTTGATTCCATGGATCAATGTGTTGTTTTTAATGCTAATACCATAGCGTTTTTAGGACTATAGCTCTGTATCACAAGTCACAATTAGAGATCTTAATACCTTCAGCAATACTTTCATTATTTAGGATTGTTTTAGCACACGCCCATGTGTGTGTGTGTGTGTGTGTGTGTGTGTATGTGTGTTTTCATAAGAAGTTGAAGGTTTTACTCAATTATTGTCACAAGTTGTGTTGGAATTTTGATGCATCTTTTGTTGAATCTGCAGTTTGTTTTTGGTAGGATGTTCATTTCCCCTGTATTAACCCTTATGATCCTTGAGCATGGGAGATTACACCTTCTGATCTTTTTTAGCATCTTGAAATTCTTAATTACACAACTTGTTCACTCACTTGGTTAGAATGATCTCAAGATATTTTTGAGACTATTGTAAAAGATATGGTTTCCATAATTCTTCTCAGTCTTTTCTTTGCATGTAAGTAGAATACTGATTCTTGTTTGTCAAATATTTTTATCTTGCTACTTTGCTAAAAGTGTTTGTTATCAGTAGAAGTTTCCTGTCAGAGTCTTTATGGTATTTTATCCAAAAAAAAAAAAAAACATTTAATCTGCTAATATGGATAATTTGACTTCTTCCTTTCCTGTTTGTGTTACTTTGAATGCCTTTTATAGTCTTAATACTTTAGCTAAGACTTACTGTCCTATAAAGAGTAGGTATGAAGGGTTCTTTGTTTACATACCTAATTTTAGTGGAAATGCTTTGAGTTTTTCTCCATTGAGGTTGATGTTGGCTGTAAGCTTGAAATACATTGCTTTTGTTATGTTGAGTTTTGTTCCTCATATCCCTAATCTCTCTAGGAATTTTATCACAAAGTAACAGTAACGTTGCATTTTGTCAAAGCCAGCTTCTATATCTAGTGAGATGATGATGTGATTTTTGTCTTTCATCCTGTTTATGTAGTAGTCCATGTTTATTGGTTTATTGTCGTTGAACCCATACCTGCATCTCTAGGATGAAGCCTACTTGATCATGGTGAATAATCTTTTCACTGTGCTCTTGTATTTGGTTTACAAGAGCATTTTATTAAGAAATTTTACATATATGTAACCTTTCTTGTGTTGAAAATCTACATTATATTAACAGTAGAATCTTGGCAAATGTGAATCTAAGTGCTGTCCAATTTTTAAATTGTAAAAGTGATGACAAACACAGAGAAAAGAAGCATCTTGGTCAGAAGTTCTGAAAAGCTAACCAAAAAGGTAGTAATATTACTGCAGCAGAACAGCCATAGCAGTCTTCCCTTCCCCTATGCTCCCATCTCCTATGCATGCCACTGATCTTTGTCTTCTAACCTCCCAGGACCCACTCTTTGTTTTGTCCCAACCTCCACAGTAGTAGGCACCACCTGCCAACCCAAAGACCACTCTTCTCAGAAAAACAAGTAGGCTGAAGGTGGTCCCACTATCTAGTCCTAATCCTGAGGTGCTATCACTCCAATTTTTTCCCTAGCTCTGTACCTGGAAAACTGCTGAAGCCTCCTCTCTGACCCCATCTCCAGTGGATCACAATGACCAAGCTTTCTTCTCCCAACTCATCCCAGCATCTCAGAATCCAACATGAATGTGCATTCCTTAGGAATACACTAGCTGACCAAGACAGGAAATCAGTCAATACACCACCATCACACTCTTCAAAAATCCAGAAAGGAAACAGAAACTAAGAAACAAATATCAACCCTTTTATGATTTTTTTTTTAAATGCTGGGGAGATCCCTGTCACTGGCAGCGGAAATGCTGGTGGGTCCCCAGCGCAGGCAGACCCACAGAGCAGCCAGTCCCAGGCAGAGACTCGGGTCCGGGAGAGCCACCCAAGTGGGCCAGTGTGAGCAGGGGGGGCAAGCTCACAGAGCAACAGGGCGGGCTGCTCGCCATGTGGTGTGTGACTGAGCAGGTTCCCAAAGGGGAGCTGTGTGTCCCAAAGGGGAGCTGTGTGTGGGTAGGGACACGTAACAGAAACATTGTATAAATAAGAACTGGACATTTATTACTTAGAGGAGAGAGGGGAGAGAGAAAGTAGGGAGAGAAGGAGAAGTGAAAGGAGAGAGACAGAGAGAAGGGAAAATGGGGAAAACACACGTGTGCCAGGACAGACAGAATCTAAGATGGCAATGAGAGGTGAGGGGGGGGGGTCGCTGGGAGTGGGCGTAGCTTGCCTCTTAAAGGAACCAGGGACCAAAACCATAACAAACCTAACGAAGAGAAATCCAGAAATTGGCACCTAGAATGATAATCCTGACAAACTAAGACACTAAGATGCTAGCATAAAATAAATAGATAGATAGATAGATAGATAGATAGATAGATAGATAGATAGATAGATAGATAAAACAAACAATAAAAGTCAGGGCACTATGTCTCCACTAGAGTTCAGCTAGTCTCTGAATACTCCACCATGCTGAAGCACAGGGAAAAGACCTTAAAAGCAACTGTGTGACCATGAGAGTCTTAAAGAGGAAATGAATAAATCTTTTAAAGAAATCCAGAAACACACACATACATTGAAGGAAATGAAATTGGAGAAAGACATCTTAAGATCAACTATTTGAATATGATTACGGTCCTTAAAGAGGAAACGAATGAACACCTAAAAGAAATCCAAGAAAGCAGTGTAAAGAAATGAATAAAACTGTTCAAGTCCTGAGATTGGAAAAAGAACCAATAAAGAAAACCCAAACTGAGATAGTTCTGGAAATGAATATTTTAAGAATTAAAACAGGAACTACAAGAGGTAAGCATCACCAAAAGAATACAAGACATGGAAGTGGGAATCTCAGAAACTGAAGGTATGGTAGAAGAAATGGATACAACAGTCAAAGAAATGGTAAGACAAAAAAACCTTCTGACACAAATCATCCAGGAAGTCTGGCACACTATGAAGAGACAAAACAAGAATAGAATAATAGAAGAATATTAGCTCAAAGGCCCAGAAAATATTTTCAAATAAAATAATAGAAGAAAATTTTCTAACCTAAAAAAAGAAATAAGGTGCCTATTAAGGTACAAGAAACATACAGAACAACAATTAGATTGGACCAGAAAAGAAAGTGTCCCATGATACAATAATCAAAACACTCAACATACAGAACAAAAATGACTTTCAGACAACTGCTCCTTTCAGCTCTATTGCCTGCACACCAAGATACAGACCGCACCATATCTGCAAGGATACTGTGGTAACGCTCCCTGTTGTATGAAGCTGTGAAGGTAATGCCTATATTGCCTTGGAGACCTCAAGATGCTAGAGAGGCCTGAGTAGTAGGATATCTACTGAAGAAAGCTGCCAACAGATAGTGGTCCCAAGAAGATTTAATATATTGCAGTTAACAGAACTGGAAGGTGTGGGAGATCTGAAGAGTGTTTTGGCATCAGACATGGAGATGCAGAGTTTGGAGTTTGCCCAGATGGTTTTCAGTTTTGCTTTCCAGTATTTCCTCACTATGCTCCCTGCCCTACATTTTGGAATAATAATGTATAATCTGTGTCATTATGTCTTAGAAGCATGTGATCTGTTTTTTTGTTTTTAATTTGATTCATAGGAGATTACAGTTAAGAGATTATATGAATCTCAGAAGAGACTTTGAACTTTAGAGTTTTAAATTAGTTTGATACTGTTATAGATTATGGGGGCTTTTGAAGTGAGACTGAATACATTTTTGTATTATATTATTATAAGCTTTTGGGGATCAGGAAGTTTAATGTGGTTTTTTGAAAGAAAATAGCCCCCTGAAAAGGGTGGCACTATTAGGACATGTGAGCACGTAGAAGTAGGTGTGGCCTTGTTGGAGGAAGTGTGTCATTGTGGGAGTGGGTTTTGATATCTCCTTTGCTCAAGCATCACTCAGTGTAGCAATCAGTCTACTTGATGTTGCCCGCACGGCAACATGTAGCAGTTCCTTCTCCAGCATTATGTCTGCCTACAGCCTGCAATGTTTCCTGCTATTATGATAATGAACTAAGACTCTGAAAGTGTAAGCTCCTATCTCAATTAGCTGTTTTCCTTTTTAAGATTTGCTGTGGTCATGGTGTCTCTTCCCAGCAATAGAAACCCCAACTGAGACAGTCCATTTTCACACTATTAATTTTTCTAAAGCATGTACATGAATGTCAATCCAACTATTATTAGTTCCTTTTAGTGTTTTCTCCAGTTCTTGATGGTTTTTACCTTCTAGAGTAGTGTGTACTTCACCATAGTTTCTTTTACCTTCATTAACTTTTCCCCCAGTGTTATTTGTTTTGGTGTAACTGTGAATATACTTATTTTCCTGATTTCTCTCTGTATGCTTCTTTTTGGTTCTAGAAAAGTAGAGAGGAAGGTGTTGAATCCTTTGAAAATTAACTTATGGATGATTGTTAGCCACCGTGTTGGTACTCAAAGCCAAACCATGTTTCTTGCAATGATATTCAGTGTTTCCAATTTCTGTCTATGTCATCTTTGTAGTTCCTGGCTAACATTTTCCATGGGTGTGAAACTGAAAAGATTAGTAATACTGTATTCACTAATTTCTGTAGATCTTATCCCTAAATGTTTGAAAAAACATACAAACAAAAACCTTGAATAAACTTTGAAAATTATTCTAGGTGGTCCCAGCATTGATTAAAGACTAGGTATGTTGATACCTCATGATTACTCTGTGAAAGAGAAATTTAGCAAATCCCAGCACAGGGTCTTTCATGTTCTGTCTCTGCCTTGCTGGATGCTAAACTCTGATTAGCAAAAGATCACAGAAGTATCAAATACACTTAACACAGAGACCTAAAGGAAGGGGCTTCAGACGATATGTGACTCTAAGGGTCAGGTGCCATGTACAAGAGAAGCTGCCCCAGAGGTCCAGGGGTAAGGTTTAAAGGTGCAGAATTAAGAAGGAAGACTTGGTTTTCCAGGGGCACAGCTGTTAATGTAGATAATTTTGAATCTGTACAAACAGGAACTTCTGCCACCCAAGGAGTGTCACTGAAAAGGAAGGTGGGAAAGTTAGGCACTGAGAATATCCAAAAGCAAACCACACAACTGAACATTAGCCACTGTCACTTGCAAACAAAAGCCAAACATTAATAGTGGGAAATTATAAATGAATGCAAATTAACAGAAAGTTCTCTCTCTTACCACTAATTATGATTTGAATTTTAAATGTCCCTAATTTAAACTTTCCAATTTGTCTTTATTCGAGGATGAGTTTCGCGTCTCTACTGCAGCAGATCAATTGGTGGGCTGGTTTCATTAGTGCCACTCTGCTTGCGTGGGTCGCCTTTTTCCCATTACTATGTTTTCCATCAGATTTACCTGGTGAGTATAAAAACATAATTACTTTCTTAGAGTAATGCATGCCCTCAGCTCCCATTCTCAAAGCATAGATAAATTACATTTCCTTATAAATATGACTCTCCTGCAGGGAGCACTCTGTGATAAATAGTATCATAGTGTTGTAATTCTTGTCTCTTTTTTACCCAATCAAGCAATATGGCATCTAAATATTACATTCATACACTACAAATTCACTAGTGTATATTTGGGTCACTCATTATTTCCTTTTAATAATAGTCTTTTTGTTTAAAGTGCATAAATGCCTTTTAAAAATGAACTACACCGACCGACTCTCTTTACCTAGTGTTTTAGTCAGGATTCTCTAAAGTAACAGAGTTTATAGAATGAATCTCTCTCTACATACAGAAAGGGAGTTTATTAGAATGACTTACAGTCTGTGGGCCAATTAATCCAACAAGGACTGTCTGTAAACAGTAGGTTCAAGAATCCTTTAGTTTTTCCACCCAGAAGGATGGGATGTCTTAGCAGGTCTTCACTATCTATTCAAATCCTGAAGAAATACATTCGAATGCAGTGAAGGAATGGACTTCTTAGTGATGGTAAGAACATTCAGGCAAAGAGCAAAAGTGACTTAAGGGAAGTCTGAGCTTTTAGTTAAAAAAAAATAGGAATGGAAATTACAATATTCCTAGACATTTGGGATGCAGCTGGAACAACTCTGAAAACGAAAGCTCATCACTCTCAGAACACATGCCCCAAATTCAGAGTCACTTCTTTAAAATATGCAAATGACAATAAACATTTGAAAAATGTTCAACATCTTTTTCCATTGGGGAAATGCAAATTAAGCATGCATTGAAATTCTGCCTTGACTTGGTTAGAATAACTGTCATCAGGAGAATAAAGGCTAGTGAGGACTGGGGGTAAGAAAAACCATTACTCCCCACTGGCGGGAATATGTACTTGTACAGGTACTCTAAAGTTCCTTGAAAGAAAAATAAATAACCTGAAATAAGGGGCTGGTGAGATGTCTTTGTAGTTAGGAATGCATACCACTCTTGTAGAGGACCTGAATTTGTCACAACTGTCTGTACCTTTGGGCTTTAAAAGCAATTGCTTTTGTGCATACACACATGTACACACAGACACAAGCCACCCCCACATACATCTACACATAACTAAAAATCTTTTTCAAAAACTTAAATAAATCTACCATATGACCTAGTCATACCACTCTTTGTTATATTTACATGAAGGACTCTGTCAAAGAAATAGCTCTGTATCTTTACTCATTGTCTCACTGTTTTACAATAGTTAGAAAATCAAACCAATCTAGGTGTTCATAAACAGTATAATGGGCAAAAAAAAATGTAGTACCTATATGTTGGGAGAAAAAGGTCCTTATATCCACAGATCTCCAGAGAATCAGTTAATTCATCTATAGGAAGCACCTTTTCAACAGTTAAGAGAAATACATAGTGATGAACTGCAGAGTTGGACAGTGCAGATGTGAGAAATTTTCATTATCAAATAATTGTCTTTGTAAAGAACCACTGTAGATTAATTATACATTGGTTTTATTCTGTTTTAAAATAATTCACTTGCCTTTCCATGACAAACTGGGATTATTATATGTCTTCTTACTTGCTTCAATATAAGATTGCTTCACTTGTGACCTATAGGTGCAAAGAAGGTAAAACTTCGAAAAGAAAAAGAACCTTCCACTGTTGACAAGAACCTTAAATATAAAAAATTTGGACCTCATTTGAAGGATTTGCTTCATGCTCTTCAGGTAAAGTAAAATACTTCTGTTAATAAGCCAGTTAAGTTGGCCTGTTTAATCTTCATATAGAGTTAAGAAAAAGGCAAATTGTTTAATAAATTTGTATGAAAGTTTTGGAGTCTCTTAATTAAATTGCTCATTTCCATTGTGATGGAAAGAAAGAACCCTTTATTATTTAGCATTACTAGAAATCTGCCATTTGTCAGAGACTGCTGGTGCCCAACTATGATTTTGCTTTATTTTTCATTATTTTTTAAATATTTTTAAAATATTGTGTTTATATTTTCTGGAGAGGTAGATATAATATTTAACAAGATAACATAAATTTGAAGTTGTGTCTATACATATTCCTTTCCAACACACAAAATCACAATATTGAGTACAAAATCTTTTCTTTTTATCGATACCATAGTAGCAGATACCAGGTGAAGAGAAAGCCCTTTCCAATAATCTAGTCCTACTTTGAATGTTTATTCTTCTATTACTTTCTGGCATATAAATTGCACGTTTGTAATTGTCACATATAGTTCTTATTCATTTTTAGTGAATTTTTCACTCTGGCTATAACTGCAAAAGTCTTAAAAATGCCATCATTTAATATTTCCTATCTTACTTTACAGTTGTATCAGTATCTTTCCAATTTTCAGGTTTTTTTCTTTGTTGAGTATAGTATTTCATTACTCATTGACCTACTCAAAACAACCTATTCCTTTTTAAAAATATTTTTATTTTGAAATTAAAATATAAGACTTCCTCTTTCTCCTTCCTTCCTTCCTTCCTTCCTTCCTTCCTTCCTTCCTTCCTTCCTTCCTTCCTTCCTTCCTTCTTCCATTCTCATGTACTCCCCTGTCCATGCTCTCTCTTAACTATAAAGAAAGAACTACAGGCAATTAAGATACATTGAGAGCAAGAGAAATAGCTTTCACCAGGGAAGAGACCCCAATTCCCTTGAAAGTATTTGTTAGTTGTTTGTGCTTCCTTTTTAAAGACTCTCAGCACAGCTCCCTAGCCAGTTTGTTATTTGTGTTGTTTGCTTTCTTTAGATTTAGTTTTTTCTTTGTTTATTCTAGTCTTCTATTACACACAGATAAGGAAAAGGCTTTTTTTCCATTTAGCAGGCTACCTACTGATTCTCTGACTGGTCTCCTTTGCAGAAAAGAACCGTTTTGACCTCATGAAATCCCACATGTCCATTGTTTACATTATTTCCCCAGTCACTAAGATCATATTTAGAAATTCCTTTACTTATCATTAACTGTATTCCCAACTGTAGTAGGAGGAGCAGGCTGCATCCCGCTGCCCAGTTAGCTTAACCCCCAAAACAAGCACACAGAAATAGTATTAATTAAATTACTGCCTGGCTCATTATTTTTAGCCTCTTATTGGCTAACTCCCAAATCTTGATGAACCCATTTCTGTTAAATCTGTGTATCACCACGTGACTGTGCCTTACCGGCAAGGTTCTAACCTACGTCTGTCTCAGGCCAGAAATTCATGGCGTCTTCCTCACTTCCCTTCTTCCCAGCATTCTGTTCTGTCTTCCCCACCTACCTGAGTTCTGCCCTACCAACTAGGCCAAGGCAGTTTCTTTAATAACCAATGAAACCAACACAAATTCAAAAGAACCTCCTACACCACTCAACTTTAACTTCTACTTGTTTCAGACTATAAAGTCTAATATTGGGTTCTCTTATCTATTTAGAACTGATTTTCTGTGCAGGGTGAGAGACAAGGATCAAGTCTGATTCTACTCCTGATGTATGTCTAGTTTTGAAGCATCGTTTATAGAAGAGGCTTCTTTATCAAAACTCAGATGGCTGTAGTTGCATGGAGTTATGTCTGGATCTTATAATCTATTTATTAAGTAGTCTATTTTTGTGTTAATACCATGTTTCTTTATTATTATGGTTCTGTAGTCTAACTTGAAATTATGGACTGTTATACCTCTACCAGTATTCTTATTGTCCATGATGGTTTTGACTCTCCTTGGTCTAGTTTTGTATTCACTTGAAATATAAGTATTTTAGTTTTAGTAAAGAAGTGAGTAATAATATTTTATTTTTAGATTAGATTGACTTTGTAGAGGTAGATATGCATTGGTTAAAATTTTTCAAAGATAAGTGGATATGCTATGTAAGGTAAGATTCATTTTCACTTAGCTCTTATTCTCAAAGTTCTACTTGTTATTAAATCATGAATTTTTGTAGTAATTCGTTATATTTCAACAACACTTTCACTTTATTATAAAGTTGCATTGTACTGCTCAGTCTACTCTCAAACATTTAAGACTTCTCCAGCCGTTGAAGTTCTGGAGTTTCTGGTAGGCAGAACTGTACCTAGCCTACTTAGTTCTATGTAAATACTGTGCGCACATATTTTAACAATATCAGGAGCTGAACTACAACACAACAGTGTTAAAGGTTAAGCTAAAACTGTTAACAATACTTTGGGAACTTTAAAAAATGAGCATGTGAACATCCATATGTAGAAGAACCTGTCTCTTCAGCATATACTTTTTGATTCTTTATCAAAAATCAGCAGGCTATAGATGACTGTTCATTTTGGATAGGCTTCATAGTTTTATCCTGGGCTCACTTGACTCTGTGTCTTCCTTTCTGTCTTTGTCATGCTGATTTGTCTACTGTGACTCTGTAGGATGTATTGATATCACGTAAACTGACACCTCCAGCTTTGCTGTGTTAGATTAATTCAACATACCGAGGCCTTTTGTTTTCTACCTTATGAATTCCAACATTGTTTTCAATAGTTCTGAAATAGCATCACTAGTGTTGTGGTTGAGGTTGCATGGAATATATAGCTCACTTTTCCATTTGCCAGTCTTCTTTCTATTATGATCAAGTATGATCTTTTCATTTGTCATATCTACTTCAATTTCTTTCATCACTGATTTACAATTTCCATTATAGAAGGGCTTCATTTACAAGGTTTATTTCTGGGCATTTTTGACAGTTATTTTGATTGTGAATGCTTCCATTTCTTTCTCAGAAAACTAATCTGAGTATTTAAATGCTATTTGACTTTATAGTTTGGTTTTGTTTTGCTGCAAATTCTGTACCAAAGTATCAGTTTTAATATTGTTTTAATATTGACTTCAGGTTTTTCTGTACATGAAAAGATATACTCTTTAAACAGATTTGACCCTGTGTCTTGCTACTTGCATACATTTTATCTAAATCTAAAATTAGATTATAGACTAAAACATAATCACAAAATTATAAATAACTCAGAAACTTATTCAACAGCTATACATAAAAATTTCATGAAGAAAATTATACTCAACATATGTTGAATTAGGAGCGGCAGGGCTGGGCCTAGGCAGTTTCTTTATTAGTAAGAAATCACTCCCACATCAAACATATCTGTATTGATAAACACTTGAGTAAATTGACAGATGTGTAATGCTCATTCATAAAGTAGCTATGGCCATGTAGGAAATAACTTAGTCAACTAATCTATAAATTCAATATTGTGATAATCATAGGGCATGGGTTTTGATTGTAAATAATAACAATTTTTTCTAAACTTTATATGGCAAAATATAGGTACAAATATAGCGAAAACAAACAACATTGATCTAGTAACAGTAAGACATACTAAAAGACCAGAGTAGCAAGAACAGTATATCTATAGACTAGTATATCTCACAATTTCTTTTCTTTTTTCATTTCTTTCTTTTTTTTGTGAAAAGAAAAGAAATATGGATAGTACCTGAGGAATGACACCTGAAGTCATTTGGACTCCACATGTATGGGCACAATTTGCATGTGAATCGGAACATGAATTAACATCTGCATACATGCAAATACACAAAACCTGTGTTTCTTCATATAATTTAGAGTTCACTCAGTGTGTGTGTGTGTGTGTGTGTGTGTGTGTGTGTGTGTTACTGGGTAGTTGAACATGACATATGTATTTGATCCTGATGTGTCTGCCTAGAGAACTCTATAGTTTTGCTTGGATAATTATTTGCATTTAGTTGAGACTATAGAGAACCAGTCCTGCAGATGAATGACTACCATGTAATGAGATGGAATCATTGTTGGTATGATCTGTTCTGTTTCAGTGTCTGGTGAAGAGCCCTCTGTTTATGTGTCATGCAATGTGCAAAGCCACGGAGTCCCTGGCTTATATTGGAGCTGCAGAATTCTTGCCCAAATATTTAGAAAATCAGTTTTTGTTAACGCCCTCACTTGCCACTCTGCTCACAGGTAAATATTTCTTCTTACTGAGAAGATTTCCAATTTTTCATGACGTGTAAATTTGTGTGTTGTACATACATAAGGAATGTGTCATGTCAGCAAAAGACACGATGTATAGTGTACTTGAATGTGATTTGCTAAAGAACATTCCAATGCTACCTCCATATTTTTAATGCATAAAACTTCACTATTCTCTTTATATTGCTCACTATTTTCCTGCCTCCCATCTACATACCTGACGGTGTTCTTTCCCCTCCCCTTTAGGAAACCAGTCTTCTCAAGTCACAGTGTGTTCTTCCTTTCTGTGCTTCTATTCCTTTTTGCTTGTGTGTCTGTACTCAAAGTTTTTTTTTTTAAATACTCATGTGATTTCCCACTAATTATTCTATTTCTTTCACCAGAAATTGTGTATTTCAGATTAACATTGATTTGAACTTAATGCTTTGTGATTATTCTGTGGTACTCTTTTTTACTTCACTGCCAAACAATGCCACTCTTTATATACATGCAATTGTATATCCGTTATTATATTAAGAGATACAATATTAGATTTGTCTTAATTGGATCTCCGCATCTGCTTCCATTAGTTACTGGATAGAGGGTTTATGATGACAATTACGGTAGTCATCAATCTGATTATAGGGGAAGGCCAGTTCAGGCACCCTCTCCACTATTGCTAAGACTCTTACCTTGTGAATTCCTGGGAATTTCCCTAGCACCAGGTTTCTCCCTAACCCCATAATGACTCCCTCTTTACATGAAGGCATATAAGCTGGCCTTCATGATATGTTGATTTCTTCTGCTAGTGTGGCTTGTAATAATTGCTTGCTCATGTAATGTTGAATTGTTCACAGAAGTACTCTATAATAAAACTCTATAACAAAATATCTTAAAGCTTCTTCATTTCTGAATAGAGTTTAGAGACAGAGATTACCACCTAAGAAAAGAGTAGTGTTTCTGTAATCCTTGAAAGAGTGGAAAAACTCAGGCACCTCAAGCAGATGTGTACGCAGCATAAATTGTGGCACACCAATGCAATGGTGACTCCTCCTGGACTGATGGCACTGGTAGAAATTGTACACACACTGTTGATAGTAATTCTGCTATTGGAAAGTGATTCTTGTCTTCCTTGCTGCATTCGTTTTGCAGGGTCTATGGACTGACTGGAGGTGTGTTATAGTGAAGGTTAACAATTAGAATCATAGCTTGTACTATTTAATACTCCATTGCCAGAGATACCTGTCCCATGCAGCCACATGCAGTCACCCTGCTGCAGCATTGACTGCTATAGAATATAGATGTAAATGTGGTCTCTCCTAATATTGTTTTCCTCTCTATTGCTACAATGTGGATATTTGCCCTGGAACTAAGGTCAGCCTTTCCTATCTGTCTGGGTGAACAGGTGGGGTTGTATTCTTCCCCTATTTTATTAAGTAGATATGCCCCATTAGAGTTCAAGCGAGACTGGCTTGTGACTTCAATAAAATTAATTCTTCAGAAAATATAGGTCAGGGGCATAGTGCCAGTCCATTGGACACTGGTTTATTGGATTGATCCTCAGTTCTGGTGGGATGGAGGAGAAAGGAAGAAGTACTTTTGAACACAATAAAACTATATTAGTAAAGAAGGAAATTGAAAGGCTGGAACTGTCACTCAGTGGTGGAGCACTTGCCTAGGATACATGCGAACCACCAGCATCAGGAGCAGAAGGAGAGAGAGCACAAGCAAGGAACTCAGGACTGCGAGGGGTGCACCCATACACTGAGACAATGGGGATGTTCTATCAGGAACTCACCAAGGCCAGCTGGCCTGGGTCTGAAAAAGCCTGGGTCAAAACTGGTCTCGTTGAACATAGCGGACAAGGAGGACTACTGAGACCTCAAGAACAATGGCAACGGGTTTTTGATTCTACTGGACCTATTGGTTTCGTGGGAGCCTAGGCAGTTTCGTGGATGCTCACCTTACTAGACCTGGATGGAGGTGGGTGGTCCTTGGACTTCCCACAGGGCAGGGAACCCTGATTGCTTTTTGGGCTGACGAGGGAGGGGGACTTGAGGGGGGGAGGGGGAGGGAAAGGGGAGGCGGCGGTGGGGAAGAGACAGAAATCTTTAATAAATAAATTAATTAATTAAAAAAAATTAAAAGGGGAGGAAGAATGAATTGAATCTTCAAAATACATATTAAAAGAAGGAAGGATGACAGCATGAAAAAAAAAACAGAAGAGAGGAAAACTCAACTAAAATGAAGATAAAAGTAAGAAACAACCAGAAATGAAATTGCAATGCTAAAATGAAAATAGATGGAGGAAAAAAAAATGAAATCATCTTCCTGGCTAAGATCCCTCTGGGTCTTCTCTAGTCAAAATTCTTTATGAATGGGGTGAGAATGGTAGGTTGTATTTTCAGATTGATCTAATTCTTCTCTGTACCAACCAAAGTAGTGGGAACAGAAACACGCTGTGCTCAATATTTGCCAAAGTCAGGGCATTCTGACAGACCAAAAGTGTGTGCTCTCTAGAGTCTTAAATTGCAATGCTCTGAACATGGATATTAGTGGCAGAACAGTGTCCCTGTCTTGCAACACCAATATAGGGGGCCTTTGGACTGCTTTAGGTTTATCTTCACTTAGGAAGCCTTTTTTTTTCTGTACAATTGATATGTAGACAGTGTTGGGTCTACAACAAGTTCTCTTCACTGAACACTAAATTTGTATAGACTATGGACAATGCTGAACCATTTGCTCTGAAGACTTAGTTTTTGGAACCTGGTATACAAGAAGCATCCAAGACAGGGGGCATGCCTGGAATGCCTCTCACAGTGTGGGTGAGCATAAATTTGCCTGTACCTTGAATCAAAGAAATTCACCCAGGTATAACAGTCTCAACATTGCCTGTGATGGTGGCTTAGCCAACTATGCATTGAGCTGTCCAGGAGTAGTCTGAGGTGTGGCACTGTCAGAACTTCCAGCCTGAGAGTGACTGGGTCCTGACACCAGAAGCTCTAGCACTAAGATTTCACTGAGCTTCTTGTTAATGTCTTTTGTGAAGCAAGCTTGCTTTCAGGTGCCAGGCCAGGTATTGATTTAGGCTACTTGTCTGCAAGATGCAACCTTCTGTGCCAGGTCATTGTCACTTGAATACCCAGGAGCAGAGAGTCCACTTCTGAATTAAATTTTGTACTCTAGGAGCCATGGTGTCTGATCACCTTGCTTTGCCATTCTCTCTAGTCCATGTAATGTGCCAGGTTTCGTTTTCTGTCCACACAACTAACTGTGCTCATCCACTGTTCCTTCTATAACAAGTTCCAAAGCTATTGTTTCGTTTCCATCCCATGGGAAAGAAAACCAGTGTGGCATGTCCTTACATCACCATTTGGGACCTGAACTTGAATTTTATCCATTATGTATTTTTATTGTTCACTTTTATTGTTTGTTCTTCTTTTTCACCTGTCTCCTTCATTTCTTCCCTCTTTGCTTTCACTTTTACCATCTTTATGGACATTTCATTTGCATGTATTCAAATCGTCACCAGATTTAATCTTGCATTTGTGTTGTTATTGGTATTTAGTTCTCTATGTATTATATCACATTATATACACACAATTGTCTACATATTGAGCTGATTAGATTTTATTTATGAGTGTACTGCATTATACTGGGTGTTTTCTATTTTTCCTCTTTGTCCTCTTTGCTTTTTCAGCTCATAATCTTCCTGTTGTTTCCTCTTTCTAAATATTTATCTTTTTTTAAAAAATTATTTATTTATTATGTATACAATATTCTGTGTGTATGTCTGCAGACCAGAAGAGGGCACCAGACCTCATTACAGATGTTTGTGAGCCACCATGTTGTTGCTGGGAATTGAACTCGGGACCTTTGGAAGAGCAGGCAATGCTCTTAACCACTGAGCCATCTCTCCAGCCCCTAAATATTTATCTTAATTAGAAAAACCATAGTTTGTGGTTGGCGAGATGGCTCAAAGAATAAAAGCACTGGCTGCTCTTCCAGAGGTCTTGAGTTCAATTCCCAGCAACCACATGGTGGCTCAGAACCATCTGTAATGAGATCTGGTGCCCTCTTCTGGCCCGTGTGGATACATGCAGGCAGGATATTGTACATATAATAAATAAATATTTTTTTTTAAAAGAAAAACCATAGCTTATACTGCTTGTACTGGGTATTCTGCAGTCTCACAGACATGTAAGACTGTTCACATTGATCATCTATGAGAGATTTTAGTAAGTTGATTGGTCCAATTTTTGTACATTAGTTTGAGAAAGCGTGTTATTTCAGTTAAGTCTCTTGTAATAAGTCATATATTCAATCAGCTAAGTAGCAGTATTTCTCAATAAGACAGCTCATAACTTCTATATGGTATGAACCAAGTTCATGGTTTACTTAGATATTAGATACCTGCCATTGGATACCTGTATTAGATACCCAGTGTATAAGAGCATCACCACCACTACCAGTACCATTCACAGGATTGTAAATATGATGAAGTCCAGATTTATTCAAACACTACATCTTCAAGTTTTACTTTTCTACTTTGAAAATCTGTATTTGAGTAGAGGGAATGACATCAATGTGCTACATTTGGTACTTTCAATGGGATATGTTTTAACAGTATTTTCTTTTCCCTTTCTTAGGAATTATTTTAATTCCAGGAGGTGCAATTGGCAGTCTTCTGGGAGGTTTAATTGTTTCGAAGTTGAGAATGTCCTGTAAAGGCCAAATGAAATTTGTCATGGTGACATCTATTATATCGCTTCTGCTTTTCATATTAATAATTTTTGTAGAATGTGATACAGTGCAATTTGCTGGAATCAGTGAAAATTATGAGGGGTAAATATGTTTGTATACTCAGTTTTCTAAATCTTAACTGAAGGTATATTTTCCAGACTAATAATCCAGTAAATATATATATATATATATATCTTAAAAAAATTAAACATGCAAATGATGCATAAAACATAATTTTACTTTTTATATTAATAGTTCATATTTCATAGAGATACACTTATTTAATTCATAAGTGATTTAAAATCAAAACTAGAACTTTCTGTTAGGGTATGTAGCAAGTACACCATAGTACCAGAATATGTATAATGTGATTTGGCCTGGACATTTTAAATTAAATATGAAAGAAATCAACAGTCTTGGCATGGGTTAACATAAAGTATTGCATTTGTAAATGAAAAGCAAGGATAATCAAGTGAAGTCATAAGAGAGAACCATAGCTTACACCAAAGCAACATCCAATACATGCTACGGTAGCTGTACACAGGGTTAGAAAACATGACTTCAGCTTCACTTCTTTTACAAATGGATCCAAAGGACTTAGAAGCAGGGCTTGAATTTGTAGACATAGCAAGAAAAGATATATCTGTAACTGACAATAAATGATAATATATAAAAACATAAAAGTTAAAAGCCTTTTCTATGCAAAATCTTTTGTTAATCTGATGGAATCATTATCTTACAGAATGGAGACATATTTAAATAATGAAAAATTCAGAGTATCTGCAGCTGGAGAATTAATGACATACCAACTGAAAAATCCCTGAGAACAAAAAATACTGAGACTTAACTGTTCCATTACTCTAGCAAGAAACAAATGGAAAAATATATCATTTTGAATAATTTGTTTGAAAATTAAGAAATAAGAGGCCCAAATAAAATGTTCAGATATTTAAATTGTACAAAAACATTTATGAGTAAAATAAGATGTTACTAATTTAAATTAATGCATAAACTAAGAATTGAATAAGAAATTTATTTAAATATTGACTGTTATAAACAGATGACTCCTCTACAAATTCATTTGAAAATTATTTAAAATTCATAGGAAATATTTTTAAAATACATTTTAGTCAAAACAGAATTATGTTATTCCCCCCTAATAGAGAATTATACAAATCTTGAAGAGCCTATATACATAAGAAAAGCAAAAAACAAAATGTCATGAGTAGAGAAAACACTCTCTAGGACGTGTGCTTAGCTATGTTCATAGCACCTTTGTTTGTCATAGACACAAACCTGGAAACAACCTAACTGCCCCTCGACTGAATAATGGATAAGGAAAATGTGGTACATTTGCACAATGGAGTACTACACAGCAGAAAAAAATAACGACATCTTGAAATTTGCAGGCAAATGGATGAATGTAGAAGCATCATATTGAGTGAGGTAACCGAGACCCAGAAAGACAAATATATGTATTTACTTCTAAGTGTTTTTTACACATAAAGCAATGAAAACCAGCCTTCCATTAATAATCCCAGAGAACAAAGACAACTCTAAAAGAGACATACCTGGATCTAATCTACATGGGAAGTAGAAAAAGACAAGATCTCCTGAGTAAATTGGGAGCATGGGGAATATAGGAGAGGGTTTAATGGGAGGGACGGGGAAGAGAGAGGAGCAGAAAAAAAAAAAAAAAACCTTCCAGCTTGTTTTGTGAACATGCTTAGAAAAGGGAGGTCAGCTACAACCCACAATTTGAGACTGAAGCCAATGCCCCATTTTCAGAAGAACCAGGTAAAATTGGAAGAGGCTTCCCTATTCTGTTGGATCTCAGGAGGATGAGTTTGATGTCCAGTAATACATGTTGACACCTTGGTGTTTTGAAGATGGTGGTGATCGAATTTTGGGTGGGGTGTGGCCTATGTGGGAATGGTATGGTGAAGTTGCCCTCAAGGCAGATTTCCCTTAGTGTTTGTAGTCCAGTGATGGGTGCCATGTGGGGTTCAATTAATGCCAGCCAAGTGAACTCTAAAAAGTTGTGGTCAAGATTGTATCCAACCATTAGGAAGCTTCTAGCCACATAACAAGGATGGTTGGGTATTTAAAGGTCAATCCTGGGCCAGTCAATTCATCTTGGGGGTAAGGAAAGCAGTTGGCTATATGACTTCATTAGTCTTTCCTTAGGTAGTGGTGGCCAGTGGTACTTGTCCCTGGCATATTTGTCAGAGGTTGACATTTCACAAAGGCCACACATACCATCATGTTTTGTTTTTTGCCATGCCTTGTACTAGGTCCCAGGATGCATTGAGTATGGAATGAATAGACAGTACAGCCCTAATCAGGGATCTGGGCTAGCGGGCTTAACAATCTAATTGAAGCTTTTCTTAAACTGTTTTTTTTTTCTCTTCAGATTTCTAAAGGATTTTACTGATTTCCAGAAAATACTAGATAAGAATCTTGACCTAGAATTCTTTTCTATTCAGCAAAACAAACTGTATAGAGGTTGTTCAACTAAAGTAATAAATGTCTCTTAAACAAGTAAGAAAAAAATCTTGAAATTTGCAGCAAATGGATAGGTCTAGAAAACACTAAATTGAGCAAGGTAACCCAAACCCAGAAAGACAAATATCATATGTACTCACTCATAAGTGGCTTTTAGACATAAAGCAAAAAAAGAAAAAAAAACAACAACAAAAAAACAGCCTACAATTCACAATCCCAGAGAACCTAGACAACGAAGACAAACCTAAGAGAACATACATGGATCTAATCTACATGGGAAGTAGAAAAAGACAAGATCTGAGCAAATTGGGAGTGTGGGGGTCATGGAAGAGGGTAGACGTAGAGGGGAGAGGAAGGAAGAGGAGTGGAGAAAAAATTATAGCTCAATAAAAACAAAATATTTTTATTCATGTTTATGCATGCTTGTCTCTGTTTAACTCATGTGCCTTTGGGAGCCAGATGAGCACATCAGATCCACCTGAGCTGGAATTATAGGCATTTGCGAAATACTGACCTAGGTCCTGGGAACTGAACCTGGGTTCTCTAGAAGGAAGAACAACAAGCCTTCTTAAGTTCCAAGTTATTTCTCCAGACCCCAAAAGATTGCCTTAACACAACATTATATCTTTGAAAATAAATAATTGCCCATCCTTCAACTAAACACAGAAATTCAAGTTAATTTTAGAGGTCAAAGAGCCAGTACAGCAGACAGCATGTCACAAAGGGCTAGGAGGAAAGGATTAAATGCAGTCATGTTATATCAATACTTGAAAACATGCTTTGAAAATTATGAGAAAAACAATCTTATTAGCTACATACAAAAAAAGCCAACCAAATAAAATAATATCCCCAAGAGTAAATTTAATCAAGGAAGTAAATTATTATAATAAAAATTGTGATTACATAGTAAGTTCCAGGTCAGCCTAAATTAGTTATTTATAAAAGAAAATAAAAATAAAATTATAAAACACTGTTCAAAGTACATAAAATAGTGTCTCCCAAAGGCTGAGGTAGTTTGGGGAGTAAGAAGTGAATGAAGAAAGAATGGTAAATATCTTCAAGGGGCATTTGTAAATGAGGAACAACTTCTAATGTATAGGACAAAAAGATAATGGTTAATAATTTCTTATATACTTTTTAAACAACTGGCAAAAAGAACTTTGAGTATTCCCAAATACAAAGAAATGAGAAATGTGTAAAATGGTATATATGGCAATTACTTTATTTTCGCTGTTGTATATCCATGAATTTATAAGATTATGTAAATTTTATTCAACCATGAATCATCAAGAAAATAGGTTTACAGAGAAAAAATAATTGATATATCATATTAAACAAGCTAAAAATGAAATGGAAAAACTCTTAAGGTAGCCAAAAAGGAATTACCTGATAAAATTCAGCATCTGTTATTTTTTGAGGTGATAAAAATGTTCTACAGCCCATAGGAGTCTGAGTGGGGATTGCCATGAGTTGGAGGTCAGCCTTGGCTATATAGTGAGTTTAGGTCAGGTTGGGCTGTAGGGGAAAAATCTGTCTCACAGAAGAAAAGAGAGAAGAAAGAAGGATGAAAAGAAGTAAAGAAGAAAGAAAAAGGAAGGAAGGAGAAAAAAACAAGAAGAATTGTGCGATGTGAATGTTTTTAATCTGCCCCATTATTTACATGTTGATGGCTTCGACTTCTCTGTTATAATGTCAGTTGGACCTTTGGAGATATCAGTAGGTTTAGTTAAGAACAGGAAGATGAAGTGTCCATGAATCACATTCGTTTTCTCACAGGAAGTGTCCAGTGCTCAATACTGCTTGTGAGGACATATGTAAAAAGTAGCACTCTGTGATATAGCAGGAGGATTATCACTAAATATGGAATCTGCTTTTCTGGCATTTCTGGCTAGTGTTCTGTCAATTTTTCCATTGTAGCTATTAACAATAAAACCTCAGATAGCCATTGATATACAATGATCTAGAAAAACAAAAGTTTTTAGAAAATAACAAAATTAGAAGACTAACCCTATTTGCTTCCAATAAACATTGTAGAACTATGTTAACTGAGAGAGTAGTAAAAATACATTAATAAAGTACAGTAAAGAGACAATAAATAGAAATTCATGTACATATAGATGGTTGATCTTTGGCATGGTACAGATGTAGTAAAGTAGAAACTTTAGAGTTATTTGCAAAAATACTGTTGACTAGCAGTTTGACAATAAACTACATACAGGTAGCTTTCTACAGATTGATCAGAGTATGCATATTCTTTCATAGACATGCATATTCAGAGATAAAATATTTAAAATGTGAAGACTTAAAAATTCTGCTGGGTTGGGACCATTAGATAAAAACAAATTTCAATCCCTACTTTGTATTTATGCAGAGGAATTCAAAATGAACCATAAGTACAAACGTGAAATGCAATATTCTAAGACTTTAAGGAAAATCTTTTTGATCTTGAATTTGGCAAGAATTTCTTTCACATAACATAAAACTCATAATCTAGGAAGAAATTTGCCAACTGGATTTCATAAAAAATTAAATCTGCCTTTTAAAACACATTTTCTGCTTGTTGTGGTTGTTGGTTTACCGAGAAGCATTTCACTATGTATAACTGGCTGTTTTGAACTCACTATGTAGATTAAGCTGATCTCAAATTTACAGAGATCCACCTGCCTCTGCCTCCAAACTCCTGGAATTACAGGTGTGTACCATCATGCCAGGCTTTCAAGGACATCAATAACTAAGCAACAAACTGAAGCACAATTAATAAAAACTCAGACAGAGAAATTGGACTTTAACCCGAAGATCCAAAAAGTAAAACAGCCAGCTACTGGCACTTAACCTTGATCTCAGTTTGAAAATAGTGATCCTACCTCCAGCAATCTTAGAATGAGACTGTGTCTGAGAGCTTTTTCCTCCTCTTTTATAATCCTCTCTAGGGTTGGGATTAAAGGTATGCACCACTGGGATTAAAGGCATGCATGGCCCAGTTTCTATGGCAAACTAGTGTGGCTACTGGGATTAAAGTTGCGTGCCATAGCTACCTGATCTGTAGACTGATCTTCATGCAAGCTTTATTGAAATACTATTCAAATGCCACTACAACAAACAAACAAAAAGCCACAAAGTGTAAAAACAAAAAGAAAATAATACATAGAAAGATTTGTTTCTGATTAAATAAAAATACTTTATGTTTTTATTACTAATAAGAAAATAAGAAAAATAGAAAATAGTTTGGAACCAACTTTCATCTAATAATATGAATATGTGCATATTCAGATGGGAAATATGCAGTTAGAAATAAATTCACTATCATTAATCATTAGGAAATATGAATCAAAAAACACAATCTTAACCACTATTCCCCAATCATAATGGCTAGTCAATGAAATTATACTGTTACAGAGATATGTGGAGAACAGCTGAAAATTCTGTATACTGCTTGCAGAAGCATGCCAATAAGCCTCTTTGAAAACTGTTTCTTGAAAAGTTAGAAAAAATGTAGGGTTCTAGAGAAATGGATCTGTGTTTAAAAGCACTTGCTCTCCTTCCAGAGGACCCAGGTTTGGATCCCATTATGCACACGGAAGGCAGAACTGTCAGTAACTTCATTCCCAAGAGATTTAATGCCTTTGTTTGTTTGTTTGTTTTTTGCTTTCATGTTGGAAGACCTTGCTTGGCTGTGGTCTATCCTGACATGGCAGCTTTTTCCAAAAGCTAGACGACATTAGAGACTCCTTCCCTCCCCAGCGAAACTTCCTGCTCTCTATCTGCCCTTATTTGGAGAATGTCTCTAGGCCCTGTGGACTGAATTGATCTGAAAGCTGTCTCTAAATCATACACCTGACTTATCGTTAGCTTAACCCTGGCACAGCTTCCTTCTAGAAGCCTTTCCTGGTGCACAGGTGATAACTAAGATTTGTATTCATGCCCAAGCTCCCTAGTCCTGTACTCCTGAACACATTCCTTGTATTCTGGAACAAAGTTGAGCTGATTCACCAAAGTCTATCTCCTGGAGTTCTGCTGTCTTTGTGGTACCCATAGCTGTCCCAACCCTGTACCTTGCTTCTGTTTCTGCCACCTTTGAGGACCAATGCAGCCAATGATCCCAAGGAAGAAGTAGAGCCACACTACACTAACTAATAAGGTGCAAATAAATACCTTCAAGCAAAATACCACATATGTGAAATCTAAAATAATTACTATAAAAACTTATATACTATTTAAATATTCTGCTTTTAATACTTATACAAGTCATGAAAACATAAGTCCATAGAAGAGCAAATAAAGATTATTTGTGCAAAAGAAGCAAGGAAAATGTTTCTTGTGATTGCTTTTTATAAAATCTTAACAAATGGACAAGGAGATATTACTAATAAGTAGAAGAATTATATATGAGTAGTAGAGATCTTTGAAGTATATGTGTGGAATATACTTCAACCCATTGCAGGCAATGATGACTTTCTTTGTCAACATGACTGTGGTGACAATTTTGCTATAGCATAATAAAAATTCAAGTGGTATATTTTTAAGATTTAGCTACTTTTATTTGTGTGAATGAGTGTTCACTTGCAGGTATGTATATGTAACACTTGCATGCCTGGTGCCTGCAGAGACCCTAAAAGGGCTTCAGATTCCCTGGAAGTGGAGTTATAGATGACTGTGAGCTTCATTGTGGATGTTGGAAATGAAATATTGGTCCTCTGGAAGAGCAGGAAGTGCTCCTAAGAGCTAAGCCATCTCTCCAGGACTATCAAGGGGTACCCTCCTAAATGTGCATTTTATAATGTTTTTATAACCTAGCAAATCTGTGAAAAAGAAATTATTTCAATAAGGATGTTTGTGGATATGATTGAGATCTTAATGTCAGCGTTAATAATTTAAATGATGGCATTATAACTGTATTTCATCTCAACATCCCAGGTCAGGTAAATTGGGAAACCTCACAGCTCCATGCAATAAGCACTGTGGCTGCACAAGCTCTAACTATGCTTCTGTGTGTGGAAGAGATGAAGTTGAGTATTTCTCTCCCTGCTTTGCAGGCTGCATAGCTTTTAAAGAATTTAACAATGAAAAGGTAACTTGTATTTATTATGCCTCTTCCTTTCTGGTAACATGCTCCTTTTATAATGGTTTGGTATTACTTCCAGTTCTCTCACAAACTTTTAGCAGCATGCAGATCAAACCTGATTTATGTTTCCCAACTCACTGGACTTTGAACACAATCTTTAACTCACAGTTGCCCATTGCTGTCCTGTGAGTCATATTTCCTTCAAATGTGCCTTCTGCTGATATTCAAAATGCCTGCTCTCTAGTTTTCTGCTGTTTCATTATTTGCACCACAGCAACTCAGATATAGGTAGGACTTATCTTTAAGTAGGGTGTTGAATCAAGGGCGCAAAATCTTACCACATGTATAAGGCTTTCACAAAACATATCTTTCTAGAAAACTGAGAGTTATAGATAACTCATATGAATGACAGAATATGACATAACTTAACTGAATCTGCTTAAAAACTCTAGTTACACATGGCATGGTACTAGCATGAAATATCTTATTTTCTGGACTGCTACAACAACCCAGAATGCATTATTTTTTTCCTGGTCCATTTTCTGTTGTAGAGAGCAATTGATTAAGCTACCACTTGTCTAAGTTTGTGGGATTCAAAAGCTGGAGAATTTTCTCTGTTCTACTCAGTCTCAAAATATGTAAATGAAGCAGTCATTGGGAGCAGTCTCTGATGTCATTCCTCAGGAGTAGCCCACCTTGATTTTTCAGTCAGTCTTTCACAGCTTTGGAGCTCCACAAATAGGCTATGGTACCTGACCCCAAGAGCCAAATGGACCCATAAATCTCTGTCTTTGCCACAGTGGGGCTACAAGCACACTACTAAGCTGGGATTTTTATGTGGGTGCTTGGGATCAAACCCAGGTCCCCACTGTTAACACTTTACTCATGGGATTATCTTCCCAACCCCTGGGTGAACATATAACTATAAAGTTACTATTACATTTTTTCAATTTCTACCTTTTAACTGGGACAAACTTATAGATCTATGTTCTAATTGTGTGTTTATTTCCTCTACCTCCTATTTCTTATGAAGGGAGTGAGCAGTAAATAGACATACTGATTCATAGACACATCAACATCTACAGTTATACTTATGATTTAGTAGCATAACAATATTAACAAGAATTAGTATAAAAATATTTATGCCATTTATAATTGTCATGCTTCTTAAATAATACATGTTAAAGTAGTCTTTAAAATATGGGAGAAATTTAAATGTAAAAGAAAAGTATAATGAACTCCCCTATATTTTCCATCTTCAAAGGCTGACTAAGTAACTGTAAGTCCTTGCTTTATACATGTACCCAGTTCTCCTCACTATGTTAAAATATGCATATGCAGTTGCAAATGTCCACCATGCCACCATACAGCAAACTTACATTTATTGAGAGACTAAGTATAGTATCACTGTTGAACTACTTTCATTTGTGAGAAATCCTCCTTAGGAACATACTTCTAATGGAATTCTATATAGTTTTCCTGTGCTTCTATGAGACACAATTAATTCATAATTCCATCAGAATTTTGTCAAAACAAAGGAGATACTTTCACTTTTCTGAAACAAAAATAATGCGTCTTTTCTATATAGTAATAATCTAGACAGTGGAGCTTGTTGAAACTCATTTATGCTTCAAAAATACCTTTTTATAGATTTATATAATAAAACCCTTGGACTGCTCTCTATAAACTTGGTCTCTCAGCTGGTTCTTCTTGTTAGCTGATGCAGCTTTGAGTACAGGAAAGCAAGGCTCAGGAGTTCTGTCCTCAGCTTCCTAGTTCAACGGAGACTTCATTCTCACTATCAGTGGGGAAGCTACTTCATCTCACCCAAAGCATTAAGGGCTTCTTAGGTGCCAAAGGATGATCTTGAGTTTCTATCAAAGTTCATACTCTGTTTCAAAACAGAAAAATTCTGTTAGATAGGGGACCACATAGGAGTTAACAAATGGACTTTTCATTTCTTTTACATTTCATTTTGTTACAAAATCCTACAAAAGAAACTGATATATCAAGTCAAGTCATATAAACACAATGCAATCCCTAGAGGAGCCTAATAAAGGAGATACTGTGAAAGCAAGAAACTGTTCTCATGCATCAGAGCATTTAACGACTTGTGAAATATATTAGATATTTTTAAACAAATTGTGATTTTCTTTTTTTGGTGGCTCAAAGACTAATAAATGATTTTATAAACAGAAAGGGGGTCTTTGGGTCTCCTTCAACAGAATTATATTTAAACTATTTGTCCTGATGTTGTATAATTTTCAGCAAACATACATATTATTATTCATTTAATTTAGTGTGTTGTGTTGTGTGTGTGTGTGTGTGTGTGTGTGTGTGTGTGTGTGTGTAATTTAGAACCTGGTAGTGGATGTCTTCTTCAGTTGTTCTTTGCTTTAACTTCTGAGACAGGATCTCTCATTGGATCTAGAGTTGATCAGTTTGTTTAGGCTGGATGGCCAGTAATCTCAAGGATCCACTCTTCTCCCCTTTCCAGTCCAGAACTAGGGTTACAGACTGACTTTTCTCATGGGTGTTGGGTATTCAAATTTGGTTCCTCTTGGTGCACAACAAACATTCTATTAAGTGAGACATCTCCTAATATTTGCTCATATATTTTACTATTTGTAGGCAATCCTTCACTTACTTTTGAATGATGTTTAAATTTAAAATACATTTTTTTCATATAATATATTCTGAGTATAGTTTCTCCTCCTTCACTCCCTACTAGATCTTCCCCACTTTCATACCCACTTTCTCTTTATTGTTAGAAAACAAGCAGGCATCTAATAAGAATGAGAACAAATTAGGTCCAAACAAAGAGAAAAAAGGTGGTATGGCTTTTGAGGTAATTTATCCCCCACACATTTCTGACTTTTCTATTACATCATTTGATTTCCTTTCTCACCCATTGCTCCCGCCTTGAAACTTTCTATTCTGTCCTCTAAAATCAGAAAGTGTTCTTCATCCAAACACTACTTCTTTTATTTCATCCTCTAACTAATGTCTACTTTACTCTAGAAAGTGCTTTGTTTTTGGTAGTTTGAGTCAGTAACTGTTTCCCTTCCCAAAAGCTTCACACTTACAGGTAAACATCCTTTTTGTTTATCTGATGATTTAGAGCATGCTCTGTCCTCCTTCCCCCAAGTACCTCTCGTCGATTTTTCTCAGCAGAATGTATTTCCTTTGAACCTCCTATTTCCTCCAGGTTCAGCCTTGAGCCATTTACCGTCATTCTTTGCAGAGAATTTAGAGCTTGGGTCACTGACACACTCTCTAATATTCTTGAATTTTTTTTTAATTACTGAGGATCTAATTTGATACTTCTATAATTCCTCCACTATTTCCTTCCCAATAATATTGTACATATATACAAAAACATATATAATACTCATCTGTATACTTCTGTGCTTCCATTGAACAAACCTTAGCTAATTTCTAGTCAGAGGTTATATTCAGTTCATGATTTCAATATCAATTATCTTGTGCAAGAGCAATGCCATTACTTTCAGTTCATTATCAAATACGGACTTCTCAAATTCTTCAATACTTTTAGAACCTAATATCCTGAAATCTCACCAATTGACTTCTAAATTTTGTTTTCAGTATTATTATTAGTCATTTTATTCACTCTGTGTTTTGTAGACATTTACTGTACTGCACCTTGGCCCTTCAGATCTTCTCAGCACACTTATTCACTTGCACTCTGTCCCAGGAGCCCAACATAAGGGATCTTTCTCCTCTGGCATTTTAGTGGATCAAAATGTAAAGGAGTCCTTGAAGAACATTAGAAAGAGAAAGAAAACCCAAATCAGTATGCTATTTTCTAGTTTTCCTCTGCTACCCCTCTGGGCTGAAGATCTTCATTTTCCTAGTAAAACTTTCTCATGTGACTTTCTTATTTTGGTTCCAATTAATTATACAGAGCGTCCAGAAAACTCTTTCCCATCTACTTATTACATAATGGCCTGTAGGATTCTTTTCAGTATTTTCTCTGTTATCTCCCCTTTCTTCAGCACTGCATTTTGTTGTACTGTATTTCATTAGCCTGTATGCTGTATGCCAACTTTTATCCTTGCCTTGGTCATTCAATAATCTCAGCAACCTGAGTGGCTTCTAAGAGTATAGATCAAAGTTCCTTAACCAAATTTTGCAATTGCCAATTTTTGTTCAACTTACATTTCTCATCCTATCTTGGATTTTTGTTTTCTTACTCCTTTCCCATTCTTCCTACCCTCGCCCTTGCTGCACTTGAAAGGGGTACATGGAATGGTTTAGAGAAGGTAACGGAAGGAGAAAATAGTATGATTATATTTTCATCTTAATAAATAAAAATTCATAAAACAAAAAGGAGTCTGAACACTGGGTTGTTTCCCTTTGGATATTGATTTAATTCATTTTATTCTTATAATAATAAATTTATTGTCTCCTGATTGTTTCTGAAATACTCTTTTTTATATTTAATATTCATAGGCATACTACAATTGTTCTTGCATTAAAAAAGGATTGACAAATGCAGATTCTGACGGAGATCTTATTGATGCCATTCCTGGAAAATGTGATACCAAGTGTAACACATTACCTTTGTTTTTTGCTTTTTTCTTTTCTTCAATTGCTTTTTCTAGTTCAGCTAGTACACCAATAACCTTGATTATACTCCGGTAAGTATGTAATACTCATAATATTATACATTTGGTACTAAAGAATTATACATTTAGAAATAGTTCATATTGCTACAGCAAAAGATTTTCTATGTTTTAAGGTAGTAAATAAAGAGGAAAAATATTTATGTTGTTAAATTTTGTGTATAATTTTTCCTTATACTTGTTTATTTGCCTAACTTATATAGATGTTACATTTAGGTTCACTTTAACTTAGGTTACATATTTTTGGAATTGCAAAGATTACTCTCTAATATTATTTAGAATTATGTAGAAACTGTATCTATGCACTAGTAACAAAATATAGTTAATACAAATCATAGATTACATTCACTTTTTATAGCACAAATGAAGAATCCATAAATCGGAATTTTTTTAATTGTTGCATAAATGTGAGTATAAAATTGATTATTTGGAATGGGTCTTTGGCCTTAGTTCTACACTTATCATTCATGTGTTCTTCTAGAATATGTAAAGTCCACCTAACATTCATTTTTATTCTAGGAACAAAATAAAAGGACATTAAATTTATCTTTTCAAGTTAACAAGTATATTTGTGTCCTAAAAATCCTGTAAAAGATGACCAACAAAAGGGGAAAACAATAGCTCATTTCTGGCATCATCACAAATAGCTGTGGGGTAAAAGTAGAGACAGAAATATGTGGAATATCCTTTTTTCTGATAGAAAAATAGCAGGATGAAGAATAAGAAGGAACTAGAAGGAGGGAAAATAGGGGAGGGTATGATCAAAATATATGTATAATGAAATTCTCTAAAATGGATAATCATAATTTATGAGATATATGTTTTGTTTTTGTTTTATGTTGTAGTTTAAGTGTTTTGGTAGATAGGGTCTTCCTGTATAACCCCAGTTTTTCTCAATGCTTTTCTTTGTCTCTGCCTTTCTGGTACTGGGATTGCAGTCAAATGGTCATCTTGATAGGGTAGTTTGAAGATAGAAAGAAAAACGGAGTTAAATGGGAGAACTAGAGAAAAAAAGAATGTAAGTGTGTAATTGTGATATTTAGAGATATGATAGCCCATATTGAGGAAATATTTAGCTTTGTTAAAAGGGTGAAAAATGTCACTTTGTTGGAATATGGAGAAATCTTGGAACATATTCAGACTTCTCATTTGGGCCCACTAATGATAATTTTGTTAACAAAAATAAAATTCAAGGAAGAGTAAATATAAAAGAGCCCATACTTGAGCTGGCAAAATGCCTCACTGAGAATAGACATTTTCTACCATGTCTGAAGACCTGAGTTCAATCCCTTGAACTCACATGAGGGTAGAAAGAAAAAACACATCTTGAAACTTTTCCTCTGACCTCTGTAGCACCCCTCCCTCTTATTAGAAAATATTTCCTGTTTACAGATCAGTAGAGTTGATATTAGGGACATGATCATCCTACCAAATACAATCTACAATCTCATACGATCTCCATCAATGTATTCTATTGTCATTCTTCATAAGATGAGGGAAAACTCTAAAATTCACATGTAGATATGACAGATTACAAATAGCCAAAATATTGATGAACACAAAAGCATATGCTGGAGTTATATACACCTTTAAATTATGCAGCCAAGCCGTAGTGACAAAAACACTGTTATATTAGCATAAAGGCCAATAGGTATAGTAATGGAAGAGAATACAAGACCCTTACAGGATTCTGAGGAAGCACAGGCAGGTTCTTGGGTGTTACCAGAGGTGCTTTTACCTGTTGAGTTCTCCCTCTAGCCTCTATGTCTAAATTAGCATGCAGTTAGGCTGGAAACTCCGAGAAATCACTAAGCTTTCAACTTATTTTTTGTCTCACAAAGATGGTTTAAGTAAAGCATATGTAATATTTCTTACTAATTTTTCATGTCAGTATATTTTGTTTCAGAGAAAAATTCTGTCATGCTACATATAAGAAAACTCCCATGCTAAATGATGCAGAACACTGTTGTAGTTGAGCCTATTCCCAACAGTTCTACTTTGTATGAAAACCTTTGAACAAAAATTTTGCGCCTAAAATACAGAGGTTGTTTTTATCTCTAGTCAATCTACTTGTGAAATATATCTTATATTTATAGAATAATTGAATTGCTGGTGGGTAGTTGGTAATCATTACTTTTCTATTATAAGAATTTGATACAATGTATGCTTGACCAGGCCAATATGGGTAGAATTAAGGTGATATTTTTGAAATGCCATGAAATTCGGTGCCACATTTTTATAAATGAAACATTTTCTAAAGTGTTTAGTTTTAATTCAAGGAAATAAATAACAAAGGAGCCGTACAAAGTACTGATTTAACACATAACTCTGCACTGCTTTTCTTCTTCAACAAATATTTGATTTAATCAACAAGAAACACAGAGATCCTTCTGTCTAATTTTTCAACATTCTCATTCATAACTGTAAATATATACAATGGATTTTAGTTGTTTCTGACACTTGTTTTCATCTTTTCTTCTTCTCAACAAACCCGCAGTACCTTTAATGACTTCTCTCTGTGTGTGGCTTGCTAAATTAGAGTTTTTTGCATGAATGTAATTGAACTTCTCCTGCTTAAACTGATGCAAAGTAGGTTTTCATTTACTTTAAGGAGTGAAAATAATAAGGGTACAACATGAAAGAGGATAACTCAGAAATTAGGACTGTTAAAGGAAAGTGGAATAAAATGGCAACCAAATGTCAGTTGGCAAGGCATGGTGTTCACATCTTCACTCTAAGGGAGTGAGAGTGAAAATACCTGTAAGGAAGACACCTTTCTATAGCACTCAGTCACCCTGAGTAACTATGGGGAAGAATCCTGAAGAAAGGGATTTGACTTCACCTTTCTCCTTCATCCAAAGTACCATTTAGGTATAACCCAGTCAAAAGCCTGGAAGTTAAATGATGTTTACCAAAATAATTTTTGGAGTGTAGAATCCAAAATCTCCAGCAAACTAGAAAAATGTGAAGTGGACTTCACAAAGGTGTAACGGATTCTAAACAAAATTGGACCTACCAGCATGAGGAAAGATGAATTAAGAGGAAGAGAGTTAAGCCACTTCAGGAAGAGAAGGCTTAGGCAGATCTGATTCATGAAGTTCCTTCTCTTGGGAAGAATGATGAGCTTTGTAGACAGTGGGTTTAAATAATGGAGGAATGGAAAAATTTATACTTTATCTATATGGAAAATTGAACTTTTGTCAACTAGCTAAAGATTTGTATACTAAACTATGCAACATACATAATTATATATTATAATGTATAAATATATACTTTATAAATTCATGTTTATAATATATAGTCACAAATGACATAATATATAATATATATTTATATATAAAACATTAACCTAACATATAGGTAATATTGTTATTTGCTTTCAGAACTTTACCTAACAATTTAAAGTCCCTGGGCATGGGTGTGACCTATACAGCTCTGAGATTATTAGGTATGTATTTTCAGATATGCCTAATGTATCAATTTGTTCATATTTATATATAAATTTGTTTATATATATATTTAAAATTACAAATAAATAATAATGTAAAATAACACAAAACAAGTAAATAGGAGATTGCTTGGAAAAAGTTGGGAGCTGATTAAATTTAGAAAGAAAATGTGTGAAATAAAAGCCATCCTGTAAGTAAAATATACATTACTTATGTTAGGTCAGGCTAGAGCCATGAATTTGAACCTGAAGTTTCTTTTGTCATCTCACAAAAGTGACTTTGAGAGATTTTACAAAACATTCACATAATCACAGTAATTTTCTACTTCCTGTAAGCTTGTGAAGTCCCCAAATTAAATGTCTTCATCACCAATGATTCTCAATTTGATGCATCTATGAATTTATTTTTTTTCTTTTTTATTATTATTAAAAAATTCCACCTCCTCCCATTTCCCTACCCTCCCCCCACTTCCCCTCCCCCTCCTCCTCCAATCCAAAGAGCAGTCAGGGTTCCCTGCCCTATGGGAATTCCAAAGTCCTCCCCCCTCCATCCAGGTCTAGGAAGGTGAGCATGCAAACAGACTAGGCTCCCACAAAGCCAGTACATGCAGTAGGAACAAAACCCAGTGCAACTGTCCTTGGCTTCTCAGTCAACCCTCATTGTCCACCAGGTTTAGAGAGTCCGGTTTAATCACATGCTTCATCAGTCCCAGTTCAGCTGGCCTAGATGAGCTCCCATTAGATCAGCCCCACCGTCTCAGTGGGTGCACCCCTCGTGGTCCTGACTTCCTTGTTCATGTTCTCCCTCCCCTTGCTTCTCATTTGGACCTTGGGAGCTCAGTCCATTGCTCCAATGTGGGTCTCTGTCTCTATCTCCATCCATCGCCATATGAAGGATCTATGGTGATATGCAAGATATTCATCAGTATGGCTATAGGACAAGGCCATTTCAGGCTTCCTCTCCTCAGGTGTCCAAGGAACTAGCTGGGGACATCTCCTTGGACACCTGGGAACCCCTCTAGAGTCAAGTCTCTTGCCAATCTTAAAATGGCTCCCTTAGTTAAGATATATACTTCCCTGCTCCCATATCCACCCTTCCTCCATCCCAACACTCCCATTCTCCCAAGCTCTCCCCATCCTCCCCTTCTCACTTTTCTCTCCCCATCTCGCCTTACCTACACCCCAACCCCTGTCCCCAAGTTCCCAATTTTTGCCTGGCAATCTTGTCTACTTCCAATATCCAGGAGGATAACTATATGTTTTTCTTTAGGTTCACCTTCTTATTTAGCTTCTCTAGGATCACGAATTATAGGCTCAATGTCCTTTATTTATGGCTAGAATCCACTTATGAGTGAGTACATACCATATTTACGATTTTGGGTCTGGGTTACCTCACTCAGGATAGTGTTTTCTATTTCCATCCATTTGCATGCAAAATTCAAGATGTCATTGTTTTTACTGCTGAGTAGTACTCTAATGCATATATCTTCCAAACTTTCTTTATCCATTCTTCCATTGAGGGACATCTAGGTTGTTTCCAGGTTCTGGCTATTACAAATAATGCTGCTATGAACATAGTTGAACAAATGTTTTTGTAATATGATAGGGCATCTCTTGGGTATATTCCCAAGCGTGGTATTGCTGGATCCTGGTGTAGGTTAATCCTGAATGATAGCCTTTGTTGGAGAGGATGTAGAGTAAAGGGAACACTCATCCATTGCTGGTGGGAATGCAAACTTGTGCAACCACTTCTGAATTTAATGTCTATAAGAACAAATTGAATTTTCTGGGGCTTCTAATGTCATTCCAAATCCATGGTGGCATTTTTTTAACTGGCTTGATCTTTCACGGACCTGTGAAATATGAACTGTTGAAATAGGGAGTGGCGGGGCTGCGTCCCCAACACCCCGGCCGCCTGCTAGCTCATGCCCGAAATAACAACACACAAACTGTATTCATTTAAACACCGCTTGGCCCATGAATTCTAGCCCTTACAGGCTAATTCTCGCACCTGGACTAGTCCATTTCTAATGATGTGTGTAAGCACCCCAAGGTGCGCTTACCGGGAAGATTCTAACCTATGTCCATCTTGGTTCAGAGCTTCATCGCGTGTGCCTCAGAGAGCAGAGCTATCGGGAGAGCGGAGCATGGCGTCTCTGCTCCAGAGAGCAGAGCTGTCGGGTCTCTCCGGGAGCACAGCAGAGTCTGACCTCACTTCCTCTTCTTCCCAGAATTCTATTCTGTTTACTCCTCCCACCTATGCTTTAACCTATCAGGGCCAGCCAAGCAGTTTCTTTATTGCTCAATGACCTTCCTCCATCAATGAACAGCTATTATGAGTTCACGTATGCAATAGCTATGTTATGCCCAGAGGAAAGTAGTTTAAAACTCTCTTCTCCATCCTCTGGTTCTTATATTCCTTCACTCCCTTCTTCTATAATGTCCCCAGAGCCTCTGAAGAGAGGAGGGTCATAGAGATGTCACATTTGTGGCTAAACACTCATAGCCAAGTACTCTTAGCACTTTGAATAGTAACAAGTCTGCATTAATACCTGCTGCAATAGAAAGTGTAGACAAAAAATAAAAACCCAAAGATAGATATTGGGGTTCAGTTCGAAAACCAGAAAAGCAAAGCAGCCAAGCAACTAGAAAAGTCCTACCTCTACCAAGGGGGGGGGGCAGCCACGAACTAAATAGACTAAGGCTCTTTCTCTTCCCATTTTATATTTCTTCTCATGCTGGTGTTAAAGATGTGTGACTCCCAAAGACTTGGATTAAACATTTGATCCTCTACCACCGGGTGTAGCCCAAAGTGGCCTTAAACTCACAGAGATCATCTGACTCTGTCTCCCAAATCCTGGATTAAAGGTGTATGTCATCATTACTTGAGCTTTAATGGCTTTAGCTTTGCCTCTGGTCTTCAGACAAGATTTATTTATCAAAATACAAATAATATACCACTACATTTCTTTTTTGTGTCTAAAATAAAGAAGAAGTCTATAAATGATATAAGAAAAACTGATATGGGATGTCATTCTGTTTATATATTGCTTTTATTGGTTGATGAATAAAGCTTTTTTTTTTTTTTTTGACCAATGGCTTAGCAGAGTAAAGCTAGGCAGGATACAGAGAGAAAGTAAGCAGAGCCAGGGAGATGTTATGTAGCTGCTGAAGGAGACAGATGTCTGAAATCTTTCTGGTAAGCGACAGCCTCATGACAATACACAGATTAGTAGAAATGGGTTAATTTTAGATATAAGACTTAGCTAGGAATATGCCTAAGCTAATAGCCAAGCAGTGATATAATTAATATTTCTGTGTGATTATTTGGTTCTGGGTGGCTGAGAACAAAAGAGAAGTCTCCATTTATTATAAAAACTATATACAAGAAGTATAATAACTAAATACAATATATACAGGTAACAAATACATTAAGAATATCTAGTCAATTTGGATTTGACAAACTCAGAGAAAATACTCCACATGTATCTCATCTTGGTGAATCCAAATTTTTGTACCTAATTTACTTTCTACAACAACTTGCATTATTAACAAAACTATCTTTTGATATCTCTCAACCTTATTACTTTACATTTCTTTAGTGAATTTCTTTTCTGGGTCTCATAAATGAGGGAGACTATAACTATTTTGTCTTCAACTACCTCAGAGACCCAAGAAGGAAATAATATTAACTGAGTAAGCAGGAAATGCAAGCAAGTGACTTCCAAAAAGTGGGAGAAGTGACAGAAACAGCTGTCTACCTGAATAGTTACCAAAGTTCCTCTGTAGTGTTGAGGCATCTGTCTTTGGCCTAGAGGTCTAGCATGTCTGATAGACTTTTCTTTGAAGCAAGACATACTGAAGAGCTGTCTCTTCTTGTCTTGACAATGTTTGTCAATCATTTTTTTGTGTCTTATTTGTCCAATTAATACAGCATACTGTCAGCAGTCAAGGCAAGGGCATTTTCTTGCTCAACAACTTCTTTTTTGCCACAGAGAAAGTAAACTCTACATGGATTTTCTTTGATACCCATTATCACCTCTGAAGTAGATTGGTACTACCAGGAGCAGACATGCCTCACTGTCATAAAAACGAACCTAGGTTATTCAATCATCTTAAATGTCATATTTGTTTGATCTCTGAAATGTTTAAAGATGACCTTCTATCTAAAATGTATCTTTGTTTGACCTTGAAAACATACCAGTGTGGCTACAAGTTCAATTATACTAGGTAATTAACTATTAACCTAAATTTCCTTATTATCCTAAACAGTTGGTAATGAGAATTTTTTAAGGAGTAGAAATTTGCATTACATTGTTAAATGAGTTATACAGGTAAAATACCATTAGCAGGAGTAGAAATGTATATATAGTTTGTTCAAAAATTAATCTCAATATACAAAATTATATACAGTATAAAATTTCCAATCCAACATAAAACATTTAAAGGTAATAGTTTCTTCTTAAAAGTATATTTAATAATCTACATTTTTATCTTATTGTATTTACATCCTCCCTTTTTTATTTCAGAGAAGATTCAATAATCTACTTTTTTATCCTACCATACCCCCCTCTTTTTCTTTTCAAAGCAAGATCCTTGAATCTAATTTCCTTTGTTTAGCTTTGTTCCAGACCATTACCAATAATAACTTGCACCTAATCCCCTAAACAATAACAAATACCCATAATCCATGAACAGCCAGAAACCACCCACCCCACCTCTTGGGAATATGGGCATCAGATTTCTAAATTTACTTTGTGCTTTCTGGGGTTGACAGTATCTTTAGGGGCTCCTGAAAAGAAAAATTTGGGTTAATTTTCCAATCCTGGGAGAGGTAGCTGTATCATGTTTTGTCCAGTCCATAATGGGAAAGTGTAGGGCTTCTTGTTTCAATTCCTGACTAGAGTAGTCTGTTAGGTTGGATAACTTCAGCTAGCCACCATAAAATAGTTCTGAGCAGTCCAAAACTGATCCTCAGATGATATTTTTCTATTTTAGTT